TCACAGTTTTCCCTCCCTTTTCTCCTCCTGTTCCCTTCCCACACCTTCCACTCCCCTTTCCCATCCATTACTCCTCCATTTAGAAAGGGTAAGCCTCCCAAGGGAATCAACAAAGCATGGTATAACAAGTTGAGGCAGGACCAAGCTCCTCCCCCTGCATCAAGACTGAGTAAAGCATCTCAGCACAGGGGAATAGGTTCCTCAAAGTCAACTCATGTGCCAGGGACAGGTCCTGATCCCACTGCATGGGGCCCCACAAACAGAAAAGGCCACAAAACTGTCACCCACAGGCAGAAGGCCTAGGTCAGTACCACACAGGCTTCCTAGCTGTCAGTCCAGAGTCCATGACCTCCCTCTAGCTCAGTTCAGCTGTCTCTTTGGGTTCCCTGACATGATGTCAAGCCCTGTCAGCCACTTTTCTCATAGAACTCAGGACCACCTGCACAGGGGTGGCGCCTTCACTTATCCTTGCGATGAACTGCATTTTGCAAACTGAAATACATGCTCTCTTCCCCAAGTTGCTTTTGGTAGTGGTATCTGTTCCAGAAACAGACGGTAAAATAGAGTAATCTTCCACAGGTTCATGTTTGAACATTCAGACACCCTTCTCATTCTCTGCCCCTCACCCTTTCTTTCTCTACCAAAGGTTGAATCCAGGACTTCCCTACATGCTAGGCACACCACACCCCTCCAGCCATTGAGTTATTATCTGAGGGGTCTTCTTACTTTATGAGATGATCTCACTAAGATGTCCAGGCTGTCCTTGAACTTGTTGTGCATCCCACACAGGACTTGAGTTTGTCCTTCTCCAACTTCATCGTCTGAGTGGTTGGGATTTCAGGCCTGTACCATCAACTTTGTGACATCATTTTGAGAGCTGTGAAATCTTTAGGATGCAGGACTGGCTAGAAGCAAAAGATATTTGGGGCATGCCTTTGATGGTTATATGCTTCTGGTCCCAGTCTATTTGTTCTGCTTCCTGTTGGCAGAGGCTGCTCATTTGTTTCCCAGCCACCCAGACCCAAATAATCACTCAGAAACTATATTAATTACAACACTGCTTGGCCTATTAGCTTATGCATATATCTAGCTAACTCTTACATCTTAAATTAACCCATCTCTATTAATCTGTGCATCACCACGAGGTTATGTCCTATTGACAAGTTTCCAGCATCAATCTCTTCTGGTGGCTACATGCCATCTCATTGACTCCATCTTCTTTCTGCTAGTATTCAGTTTAGTTTTCCCACCTCGCTCTATTCTGCCCTGTCATAGACCCAAGCAGCTTCTTTATTAACCAATGGCATTCACAGCATACAGAGGGGAATCCCACATCACCTCCTTTTTCTGTATAAATAAAAAGGAAGGTTTTAACTTTAATATAGTAAAATTACATATAACAAACAGCTATCAAACAAGAATTATAGTTACAATATTTGTATCTACTTTATCTTTTATCATAACTAAGGAAAACTGTAATTATATCTATCTATTATTCAACTCCATCAAAGACCCCAGAAGGATATAATATTACCTAAATTAACAGGAAGTACATTGTAAGCAACTTCCAAAACTCTAGAATTGACAGAGACATCTAGCTGCCTGGACAGTAACCCAAACTTCTTGTGCAACATTGGGGCACCCATCTTCAGCCTATGGGCCCAGAGTATCCAGCAGACTTTTCCATGAAACAGGAAATTTCAAAGATAGTTCCACCTATATTGGCAGTTTGTCAATTACTGCAGAATGACTGGCACTTTTTCATGAAGCATGAACCCCAAAGGATCATCTTACCTTTAGACAAGTTCAGCAGTCATTTTTCTGTGGGCCCTGTATGTCTAGTTTATGCAGTATAACATCAAGCAGTCCAAACAAGAAGAATTTCTTGCCCAAATGGCTAACCAACTCTAAATGGAGCCTCTTTGGTATCCATCATCCACTTGAAGTAAATTGGAGCTGCCAGGAGTAGACGAGTCTCATTGTAATGAAAAGTCCTAAGTTCTTAAACATTTTTAATGGCATATTCTGTTAGTCTTTGAAAGACCTGAAAAAAAATCTATCCATCTGAAATATGTATCCATACATCTAAAAAAACACCTAACTAATGTGACTACAATAGACTTGTATACAATACAATAGACTATTATAGAGACTCTCAATTAACCTGTATTTCTTGTTTGTTTTTGTTCTTTGTTTATTTGGGTTTTTTGGGGGGGTTTTCGAGACAGGGTACTTCTTAATTATACATTACATTTTTAAATGAGCTGCACTAACACAATATCTTAAACAAGAGCAGAAATATACATATAACAAAATTGACCTCAAATTTGATTTAACAGACCAAGATCCATACCAATGCCAAGTATTTATATCTATAGTGTATCTCCCTTTAAATGTAAACAAATATTTATAAACAATATTTAGGAATTTTGTTATAGTTCTCTCCAAACTTCTTCCTGTTTTTTGTTGGGTGAAGTAATTTTGGGGGGTATTCACAGTAACCTTTCACAGGGTCTTGGTACATCAAACCATGTGAGTCTTGAAGAAATCCATAGGTCCTCATCTTTTGTGGAAACAAAAGAAAAGCCTCTTTTCCTAAGCAACATATTCTTAGATCCAAATTTTGAAGTCAAGATACCTTTAAAGTATATATTTTGGCTTAGCTTAGTAGTCCCCAGAATCAAATGTCTTTCTATAGTCAAAAAAATTCAAAGAAGCACAATAATATGCATAATCCAGACTCTCAGTGTATATTCTATCTTTACATGGCATATTTTTCTTTACTCCTTCAATCTATGACTGTCTGTATTCTGTCTCTTTGAAGACTTTTGTTTTATTTATTTTTTAAAACCATTTACTTCTTTTTATAACTACTTTTTTCTCTGTCCCAAGCCTACGTACATTTATCCAACACCATGACCCATTTAGAGGTTTTTCCCATCTGGATTTATTTTTATTGCATGTGTATTTGTAATTATTTTTTGACCAGAAGTGCTTTAAAAATGTTAAGTGGGTATGGCATGGCTATGACCTACTCCACAGCACTGCCTGTTAAATCTGCCCAGTCCAACATGGCGGAGGCATGTTCACTACCTCTGAGAGTCATGCACATTGCCCCAGCTCCAGGGTTGCAGCTGGTCTATGTCACCATTAAGCAATTTGTAACACACTGCTCACAGACCCCATATAAGTGTTCAGCCTCCTGAAAGAGCCAGAGCTGTTCCTACAACTAGCATGGACCAGGAAGCCACCCTTTTGATATGCATTGGGGTTTTTGTTGTTGTTGTTTTGTTTTTGTTGCTACCACTGAATCAGGAAAACCTCTATTAAAGGAGCCACAACACCCCTGCTTGCCACCAGCAAACAGAACCCATCCAAAAAACAAAAATAAAATGCTGGCTACCAAGAAACCATGCTTAACTCTGTTCTTTTCTGTCTAGAATTACTTTCCAAGATTTCTTGGGCTTTACGTGGATGTAGTCAGCCCAATGTTGGCATGCCAATCTGTTCGCAAAGGTTGTTTGTTTGTTTCGTGACTGCCCAGGCCCAAAATAATCACCCAGAAACTATATTAATTATAATACTGCTTGGCATATTAGCTTATGCATATTTCTAGCTAACTCTTACATCTTAAATTGACCCATCTCTATTAATCTGTGCATCACCACGAGATTGTGTCCTACTGGCAAGTTTCCAGCATCTGTTTCCTCCAGTGGCTACATGACATCTCCCTGACTCTACCTTCTTTCTCCCAGCATTCAGTTTAGTTTTTTGTCTATCTCTATTCTGCCCTGTCATAGGCCCAAGTAGCTTCTTTTTTAACCGATGGCATTCACAGAATACAGAGGGGAAATCCCATATCAGATTCCTATCTGATGCTGATGTAAAGAGCCCTGGTGTGGGAGAATTATCTGCATTCTGTCAATCATATTTTAATAAAACGCTGATTGGCCAGGCAGGCAGTATAGGCAGGAAAGCCAGACAGGAAGTAGAGGTGGAGCAAAGAGACAGGAGTATTCTGGGAAAACAAGAAGCTTCCTCCCATTTCTGCTCAGACCACTGGAGAGGAAAGGTGCAAGCTGCCCCGCTGGAAAAGGTACTGAGCCATGTGCTAACGTAGATAAGGATGATGGGGTAACATAAGTTATAAGAGCTAATAAGTAGCCTGACCTAATGGGCCAATCAGCTTTATAATCTTATGGAGTCCTGTGTGTGATTTTCCTTGGGACTTGCCAGCTGTGGGGTACTGGGTGGAACAGATACCCCAACAAGCCGGCCCCTCATACTACAGAGTCCAGGCCACGTGTTCCCATCACTGTAAACTCTTCCACGTCTCCCTCACCAGGATGGATTGAAACATCTGGAATTGTGAGCCAAAATAAACCTTTTGTCTTGGAGCTCATGTCAGGGATCTTGCTGTGGTTATGAGAAAAGCAATCATAGGGCTATGGCTTCCATAAGCCTGATTGTGTGGTTCTCTGACCTTTGGAACTGCTTCACAGCTGAAATTTGAAAGAATTTAGAAATGCAGGCTGGAGAATAGCTAGGATGGTATTATTCTGCTAAATGGTAGGTTGTGGTGGAAGTGCAGAAGATCAGAATGCCTATAGAAATATGGCAATGAGTACACTAAGTAAGGGTTGTGCTCCTAGTGTTTCAGATAGCTATGAAGACCACACTGGGAACAGGACTCAGGCCATTCATGTTACACCCTGACAAGAAGGGATAGATTTCATTCATGCCTTCAATAAAAGTTGGATTCAAAAGGCATGTATTCATTTGTCTAGTAAAGGAAATTTCGAGGCAGCAGAGCACACAGGCTGTGGCATAGTCATCTCTGGCTTTTTAAAACCAGATTTACAGAGAGGACCACTGAGAATAAAGAGTAGCTGTCCTTTGGGTTTTTTATTATTGCTGTAAAGAAACACACCATGACCACGGCAACTCTTATAAAGAAACATTTAATGGGGTGTGGGGGACTTGTTTACAGTTTCAGAAGTTTGGTCCATTATCATCATGGAAGAGAAGACAGAGGCATGCAGGCAGACATGGTGCTGGAGCTGAGAGCCCTACATCTTGACTCAGAGGCAACAGGAATTTGACCATCATGCTGAGTGAAGTCGGAGAAGAGACCTCAAAGCCCACTCCCACGGTGACATACTTTCTCCATCAAGACCACACCTCTTAATAGCGCTACTCCCTTTGGGGGCCATTTTCTTTCAGACCACCACAGCAGAGCAGAAGGATTTGTCAAACCTTCAGCAAAGGAGTCTGAATACAGGTAAAACAGTGAACCACGTGAATGCTGCAAGCAAAGGCATGACTGCTGGTAAAGGCAAACTGAGCTCTTTGCCCTGGCACAAGAGCAAACCTCAAGGCAAAGATGCCAAGCATTGGAAGCAACAGGGTATAGAAACACATTTGAAATGAGAGCGTCTATAAAGAATGTCTCAGGGCCACTCCGGAAATGTTTCCCCAGACTGTGAGGTTTACAGAACCCACTGCCACCATCATCTTGGGAATCCTGGCTATATCCTGCATGGGTGGCAAAGGTCAGTGTTGTGCTGAGTTTTCAAGCACAGAGAACACAGATGCTGTAGAGCTCGGCTCTGAGAGTCTGGAGAAAAGTCAAAGGCCGGGAAATGTGTAGCAGAGCCGGGGTTCCCCGCATGGACCCCTGAGTAGGCTGCAAATGTGACACCCAAGTTTCAATGGAGACACCAGGGCGCTGGAAACACCAAGAGCAGGTGACATATGCTGATAAAACCTATAGGCAGTAATTGGAGGTTCCCCAAAAGGAGCCCATGTGTGCTGCAGGCTGCTGGGAAGGGGCTACCCCAGCCACTTGAAGCTCAAATGATGTCATTATTTGTCCTGTATGCCAGACACAGAACTATATAATTTAGTGCTTTCCCTGTTTGGCTTTGGTCTAATCTCTACTTACTGGCCTCCCAGTCCTCCCTCTGTACCACTGTGTATTGAAAGTATATAACCTGTTTATGTTTGTAGAGGTTCACAGCTAAAGAGTCTGCCTTAAGCCTCAGAAGATAGGTTAAATTTTTGAACAGTGTTGGAGCTACTGTGACTATGAAGATGTTTGGAATTGGACTGAATATTGAGACCACAGTCAACACATCTCAGCACATAGACAGTTGTACTAGTCACTACTGCTGTGACAAAACACCATGACCAGGTCACCTTATAGAAGGCTTATGGTTCCAGAGAGAGAGCATCCCCAGTGATGGAGTGAAGGCACGGGGGCAGGAGCAGGAAGCCGAGGGCTCACACCTTGAACCATAAGCCCAGTTAAGCTCTCAAAGCCCACCCCCAGTGAGACAGTTTCTCTAGAAAGGCCTGTGGCCTTTCTTGGCAGAGCTAAACCTCTACCTCTTTCCCCAAAGACGTGCAGAAGCAGCCCCGCTTCCAGCAAGACTCTCCTCCAAGAAAGCATCCACCTTTTTCAGCCTTCTGGTAGCTCAGAGTCATATCTTTTCCCAGTGCATGAAAAGCCCAGCTTGCCCCACACCATCGCACATCTCTAGAGGGAGGCAGAAGTCATTCTAGCCCATGACTTTAATTGGCTGATTTCCTTCCACTGGGCCCTGGGATCAGCTCAAATAGTTCATAGCTCTGTGCTGCTGAGAGATCTGGGGCTCCCCAGCCTGCTCTGTTAGGACAGACCAATGTCTCAGAAACAGTGATTAGCTGGGACAATACAACAATCAGAAAAAGTCACTTGAGGGTACGTGTTCATAAGATTGCAAAAAGACAAGCAGAAAGCAGGGAAGCTGTTGATGTCCAAAGCACCAGGTCAGACCAGCACACAGCACAGCCACTGCAAAAGAAAAGTCAAAATCAGTGCATAGTCTGTAGGAAGTATCTGGACCTTGGCCACAGAAGTCCTCCTGCCCTGTGTGTCACCACCTGTCACAGTCCATCCTCCAGCCAGTGCCACCCTCACTCCCAGGAAGCCCTTAACACAGCCACCAGGTCCCAACTCAGATGCTCCAGAAATGTGACTTGAAAAAAGCTCTACACCCAAAAGGGGCTTCCAAAAGTAGGTGTATTGATGAGTACAATGGGTCTTGTTGCAGTAATAATGGCAGGTTCCATGTCCGTGACTCAAGGGCAGGTTAAAGCTCGTCAGAAAAAGAATTGCATCTGTGTTGAATAGGAACAAATTTCTTTCCTTGTCATAGATGCCCTAACCAATGCAGTGCACACCTCTTTGGCCAGCATTGGCGTTCCGTTAGCCATCATCAACACGGTATAGAGAGGATTTAGAGTGTGTAAGACTCTAATGCATCAAGGTATCTTAGGAGGGTTCTGGAACCAAAGGCCCATAAAGACAATTGTGTTCATATACATATATATCTTTACAAACATATATATATATATATATATATATATCCTTATACAGTTCTTATTCTTATTCTCTATATGTTGCATATATGTATATACTCCTATATTTACATCTATACTTCATATATATTTATATGCATATAGATTTCTGTATTTATATCTGTATTTTTATATGTGGGTGCATATATGTTCCTATATGTACATGTGTATAATTCTATAGGAACACTTTTTATATACTACAATAGTCTCCAGTTATCTACAGGAATCCACAGATATGTTACAAAGAAAGCTTTTCCTTAATCATAGGAAATATTTATTATCATTTCCATTCACAAGAAGAACAAAAAGTAACTGGATTAAGATGGTATAAACCATCCCTCTACCATGGTAGGATGGTAATAACCCAATCCTCCAACATGGTAGGACAGTAATAGCCCAGTTCAACAACACAGCAGGACAGTGATAACCCAAGCCTCTAACATAGTGGGGGATGGCGGGGGTGGTAATAACACAGCCCTCTAACATGACAAAGAAATTTTCTAGCTCCACCATCCCAGGAGCAGGTCAGAGCCAATGCTGCCTCATAACTGGGACCCTTGGGCCGTGTCCACACTGCCTTCCCTCTGACCCTCTGCAGCAACCAGCGACAGCCCCCATTGTCCAAAGTATGCCCCTTACAGTGACGGATGCCTGTGTGACTTGTGCACGGCAGGAACACTTGTTTAACTTGTATCTGCAGTTCCAGTGTTGGCTTCCAGTGCCTCCTGCATGTCAACTCAGAAGTCTCAGGAGTCAGGCATCTTAAATTATGTCTGCTCCCCCACCAGACACACACGCACATACAAGTGTGTCCACGTTAACAACGGTCTGCCTCTCTGAAATGGCCTTCCATACAGCCAGCTATTACTTTATCTTTAAGATAAAGAAAGGGATAAAAGAGGCAAGAGGGAGGCACTTGATTAAATTATATTAATTAATGAGAATGCTTAACAGATTTAAGAGACTGTCCCATTCCTTCTCACACCCGCTGCAGACCATGCGGGGGTTTCCATGGAAATAAGATGGTTGGTTGGAATAAACACAGCCTATCACCTAGTCTGTCCAGGGATTTCAAAGTTTTGTCTACCAGAAGTTCTTCAAGCCTTGAGTCACTTACCTCAGCCAGGGAGAGCTGAACGATGCCATTCTGGTCCTTGTCCAAAAGCCTGAACAGTTCTGAAACACCAGACAAGGAAGGAAGTCAGTCAGGTCTGTTTCTGAGTTTTGGAACATCAGAGAGCTGTCTCTGGTCAGTCCACGCCAGACCGCAGCTTTCTTTTCCCCCCCACCCCCACCCCTGTCCTCCAGATCTCAACAACCCCAGGGACCAGCAGTCAGGATGAGTTTTCATGACTACAGGTGTCTCCCAGACTGAGTGGATGGACCAAGTTGTCAGTGGAGACGGTTCCTCTGAGTCTTCACTTTCAGAAGCTCAGCCAAGAAACTGGCATTTCTCTGGTGAGTGGGTTGTGGAAAGTCCAGGCCCTCAGCTCTATCTCTGCCCAGCTGATTTTGCCCCTAAGGTTTCTCACCTTGCACTCTCCCAACGGAAGGAAGGCCCCCTCCCTTAAAAAGATATCATACCTATTAAATGATAACAGCATCCCAAAACCCAAGGGAAGAATACAGCTACTGCCTTCTAGAGGGAGCCCACCCTCTTCCTGGAAGGTGGCACAGTCTCTCAAATGACCCTCATGTGTAACATGAGGGGCCGGCTTGTTGGGATTTCCATCCCGCCCGGTACCCCAACAGCCGGCAAATCCCAAAGAGAAATTACACACAGGACTCCATAGGATTATAAACTGATTGACTCATTAGGTCAGGCTTCTTGTTAACTCTTATAACTTATATTAACCCATTATTCTCATCTATGTTAGCCATAATGGCTCAGTACCTTTTCCAGCGGGGGCAGCTTACATGTTGCTTCTTCAGTGATCTGCGCAGGAGTGCCGGAGGGACCTTCCTCCTCCATAACCTTATTCTATTCTCTTTGCCCCGCCTCTACTTCCTGTCTGGTTGACCCGCCTATACTGCCTGCCTGGCCAATCAGCGTTTTATTAAAATACATGATTGACAGAATACAGATAATTCTCCCGCACCACTCATGGTGGCATACAGGTGAATAAACACTAAAGCAAACTTGGCCCTTAGGTATGACAAGTCCAGGACATCTGCAGCCCTAAAGTGTTTATTTCTTCTCCCTCCTGAGATCACAGTTATAAAAATCCCAACTATACTTCCTTAGTCCCCCGGTTCCAAAGGCACTGTCAGATCTCTCGCCTCCTAGCTTGGCCCTTGCAGCGCTCTGTGTCTCTGAGGAAAAGAAGCAAGGCTAAAGAAAACTGAGGCTTACTGAACAGGGTCTCCAAGCGGATCATGCAAGCCACAAAGCCGTCGAAGTCCACACCAAGCTTGCTGCAAGCATACCTCAGGGCAATAGTTTGCTGCACCTGGTTGCTGAGAGTGAAACCTGATGGCGAAGAGGGACTGTGTTATGGGCGACGCAAAGGTTTTAGCGTTGTCCTGATAAGCTTCAAGGTGCTGGCATCACAGGGGCCTCCAAGAGTCAGTGTAAATCTGTAAATCAGGACTACTCTGCCTCCCCCGGGGAGGCCCGGGAGATGCCCTGCCAGCAAGTCTCTCTACTCTTAGGGATGTCTCACCAGCTCCCTCCCTGGTCCAACAGCAGTTCAGCCCGAGGACACCCATGGCTACACAACCACAGGAAGGGACAGGTAGAAAGGGGAAGGGACTTTGTGTCTATGGACCCCTGCGGAGTCCCACACCTTGTCGCCACTGTCACTGCCTGACTCAGTAATAGGAAGAATGCACCGCGGTCTCCTCTCCTTCCTGGACAGGATGGATCCCAACAAGGCTTTGCTTTTACGCTGGCATCCAGTGTAAGAAAGCTCTCAGGAATGACTCTTAGCCACTGTCATGAGAACACACACTCTGGGCACACCTGGGTCAGAAGGCCTCTTCTACAGGACGGGTCCTCACCTGCTTTCTTGAGGGCTGTCCTCATCTCATGGGCATTAATGGTCCCTACATGGTTGTGATCCATTTCCTGGTAGATCTCCTGAAGCCAGAGAGAAATCACGCATGGAGAATAGCACAGCCCCAGACAACACTTTCCTCCCTCTCGGCTCCTCTCTTGGAACGTGCTCTAAAGAGATTACACTGACATCTTCAGAGAAGCTCCCGAGCAGGAGAAACAGGGCTAAAGGTCAGTGTAGCACTTTGTCCTCTGAAGGGGGCTATCGTTAGAGAGGTGGACGTCAAAATATCTCACTGCGATTGCCTCCCGGCTCCCTTCCAAACAATGTGCCCAGGTTCTGGTGGTTTTGACCAGAGTCTGGACAGACTAGGCTCTAGAGCATTCCAGGAACAAGTATTATAGAGGATCAGAAGTGGGGAAAAGGATCATGGTCCAGAAAGATGCCCTTCTCTCCCAAGAGAGAAAGAGAAAGGCGCTAGTTACCAGATACTTGCGAATCTTCAGCCAGAGTGTCTTGAGCTCCTCGGGTCCCAGGGTTCCAGTCCCGTTACTCTAAGCTTGTTAAAGGCCAACATGAACAAACATGAATAATCAGGGAGTTTCTTCCTCTTATGAGCTAAGTGAGCGCCTTGAAGTCTTAGTTGACTTCCTTCCATGTCTGAAGCCAGCCACACAGTGGGGTGATGGTGGGAATTAAAATTAGAAGGTCAGTTACTCACTCCAGAGGCCAGGCACAGATGTAGAAATGAAGAACCAAGCAGCAGCCTGAAAGCTCCCAATGACAACTCTGACTAACACCACACCCTCATTATCCCGGGGTCAGCCAGTGGAGCTATGTGGTTTATACACTCACTTCCAGACTAAAATTTCTGTGATTAGTGCAACTTCTCATTAAAATCATGTTAATATTGTGAGAATGTCAAAAAAAATTACCAGGTGTTGCAACCACAGGGTCTTCTCAGATGCCATAACAAAACCAAAAGAGGCATGCATGCTGGGGAGGCTGTGTGGAATTTTCCATATCCGACTTATCTTTCTTCCAAGAATACCTTATGACTGCAGGACTAGACATGGGGGCTTGGTTTTAAATTGTCCTTACCCTCATAAATTTCAGTCTCTTTTCTCACCAATCTCACCAAATCAATAAACAGCGCTGTCTTGCAGAACAGGCCATCAATCCTCTCCATGTATGTTAGACAGCTAAATGAGAGTCCAGTTTGTGCCCAACTGTGCAAAGTTCTCTGCTCCAGTCTAGATCTGGAATGACCACCAAAGGTCCACCTGATAAATGCTCAGTGCCCAGCATGGCACTCTTGGAATGTTTTGGGGGAGCTTTGAGGAATTAGGTCTCGTAGAACAACACAGGTCATTGGAGGCATGCCCCTGCAGGGGATGATGGGTCCTGCCTCTTCCTCCCTCTCTTTTATCTCCTAGATGCCATGAGGTACACGGTTCTTCTCATCTCCACTATCCTCTGCTGCCTCATCGTAGGTCAAAACAGCCAAAATTGTGAACCCAAATAAACCTTTGCTGTTACAAGCCCATCCTCTCAGGTATTCCATTAAAGCTGTGGAAGGTTGACTCACATCGCCACCCTGTCAGAGCATCCAGTCTGGACTGTGTCTCTGATTAGTGATGGATGCTGGCTGGACCACAGCTCACAGCCTTCCTACAACACAAACAGCCAATCCCCACAGAGCACTGGATGCTGGCTGGACCACAGCTCACAGCCTTCCTACAACACAAACAACCGTTCTTGGCAGGGTCCTGGGCTCAGGGAAACAGCACCCCGAGTCTTGGCACTTTCCATGCTTGCATCACCTACCACCCCCACAATGGCTGCATAAACTAGACATCCTTATTCCATTCTTCTCCAGAAAAAGATCCCAACAGTCCAAGCATTTAGTAATGTCTCTGAATGTATATACCTGATAAGTAATGAAGACATAACTTGAACCTTTGCTTGTTCCAAAGTCTAGATAGACCTATTGAGTCAGGGTCTCCAAGACTAAGATTTAAGCAATGGCATTTTCAAGTTTTCATGGGTGAGGGAATGCTGATGTGTATTCTAGTGATGTGGTATGGTCTTCTGTATATGTGTTGCTCCTATTGGTTAATGAATAAAGCTGCTTTGGCCTATACGATGGCAGCATATAGCCACACTGGAAGAGATAGAGAGAGAGAGTAGGCAGAGTCAAGGAGATGCCATGTAGCTGCAGAAGGAGAAAGATGCCCACTGGAACCTTACCTGGCAATATACAGAATAATAGAAATGGGTTAATTTAAGATATAAGAGCTAGCTATTAATATGCATGAACCAATGGCCAAACCGTGTTGTAATTATTATAGTTTCTGTGTGGTTGTTCGGGTCTGAACAGCCGGGAAATGAACGAGCAGTCTCCGATTACATTCTAGTACATGAAATACCATGCTAATGGGAGCACCATCTGTCGTAGGATTCCATGGAGACAAATGTCCACAATGTGAAGATTGCAGAGGTAGACAATGTAGTAGTAGCTGTGATCTGTGATGGAGAACAAAGAATGGCTGCTAACGTGAGTGTAGGATTTACGGGGGTGTGGGAAAGCGTTCTAAACCAGCTGGTGATGATTGCACAACTCCACATCTGACAAAAGCCACAGAATGACGTGTCCATCCCAACTAAACATAGTCTTACATATTAACTACATCTTAATAGGCTTGTCATCTTTCCAAATCTGCACAGGCATTTTCACCACACATGGAGATTTAAACGCCACCCCATACTGGAGCAAAGACTCCAAAAGAAGACAGAATCTCCAAGTCAGTGGCCCTAAGAGATACGGTGCCACTGGAAATGATGGGTGCGTAACTACAACCAAATCTGAATCTGAATTGAAATCACCAGAAAGCTTTGATAAGAATGATTCTGAACCTGAGACCCAACCCTTGGCAAAGTCAATCGGACTTGAACTATTAATCACAGGTTGAACTACTAATCCCACTTCCATGGAAGGACGCAAGGTCAGAAGGGCTCCAGCACTATTCGGCTAGTGGCCGCTTGGAGCTCTGAGGCCACTAGACAGCGCCACCCATCTATCAATAATGACTTGAACAGAGATTGGCACACACTCTGCTACCACAACTTTACACAAACGCTGTCATATGTGAAGTAAAGTCACTCTTCCTGTCGTCTCTGGCACTGGTGAAAGGCTCATGGAGTAAGTTACCAGGTTTCACCATGAATGAGGCCCTAAGAACTGAGGCTAAAGGATTCATCTATACTACCAGTAAGTGGAGAATGGCCAGCTGAACCTGTCCCAGGCAAATCTTAAGGAAATGCTGTTGAGCCATTAGTATCCTGTACCTTCCTATAGAATTTCCTTGACACATATAATATTTTCTCTATTCATCATGAAAACTCCTACCCACTTATAATAGATTGAGTGTTTAGGTCCCCCCAATCCATGTCTCGAAATCTAATCCCAGTATGAAGATATCAAGAAATGGAGCCTCTGGAAAGTAATTGGGTCACTGAGGGGCACCCTTCATGAATGCAACTGTGCTGTTATAAAGGTAATGCCAGAGAAATCCCCTTCTGCCTTGTGATGCTACAGCCAGGAACCGGGAGACAAGCCCTCACCAGATGCGTCTGACATGTCTTGATCCTAGGTTTCCCAGCACCTCAAACTGTAAGATATGCCATGTCTGTTATTTATCAGCCACACAGTTTAACGTCTTGTGCAATAGTTTTCTGGCAAACCCCGAAAAGACCATTCTTCAATAGGAGATGAGATCAGAGAGAACAAATAGGTTTTATCTTGTATCATAATCCTAAACTATTGGTAGTGGATACCCAAAGGCCATGTTGAGAGTCCAAAGCAAAGCTCATACAATAATGGGGTGAGCCATTCCATAAATTCCAGCAGGTGGGTGCACTGTGCTCAACACAGTGTGGAGGAAGGAGGAGGCGAAAACCACGTGCTGTCTCTAAGTTCCATAACTTGAGGTACTCAACTATGGAATATCTTGGTTTTTTATGAATAATTGGGAGATAGCCTCAAGTACGGTCAAGACAATTTACAAAACGATGCATTTTTCTTTAAAATTCAAACACAACTCTTGGCATATGGTAAGCAAGTATGCTTCTTTTCGCAGCTTCTCCCCTTCCCTCCCTCCTTACTGGGAAAAAGGTAGAAGCGCTTTTAAAACAGAAAAAAAAGATGTGACATTTAAAGGATACATCCAGCAGGCTGATCATTTCTCTGCAAGTGTTGATGTTGAATCCATCAAATTTCATGTCTGTTCCTAAATATTTAAAGAGAAAAGAAGGTGGGAGTCAGGGTTGTTTGAAGACAGGGGAGATAAATGATCTAGACAGTAGGAGACTACCAAAGAAAGTACAGTTTCAATGGAGACGGTTAGAGCATCATGGGAGGCTCAGGACAGATATCACCAGCCTCCTGGTAGTCAGGTATATAGTGTTGACCAGCACTGGCCTTGTGTTTGAACATCTGAACCTCAGCCTTGCTGCTCACAGATTTATGTTTGTAAGGTTTAGTTTCGCCTGCCATCAAATGGAAACGCAATTGGTGATATTGATGCTACTTGCAACCAAGAACTGGTTGAGCATCGTGGTACGGGAAGCAAAACATGGTGCGTTCTTACTAGAACAGCCCTTCTTTGTTACCAGGATACTGGTGTAAGCCCACCTACTCTCCATCCCCACCCCAGCCCCTCCTTGGCTCTCCCTGTCACTATCTGATCTACTCTTGAGAATAAACCTGCTTGGCAGATGTTATCATCATCCTGGTTTTATAAACAAGGATCACAAAACCCAGGATCTTCTACAGTTTGCTCAAAGTCACTGACCTGTGTAGGGAACAGAGCTGGGTTTTAAACATAGGCCACCTGACTCCATAGTCATAACACACAGTGGCTCAATGAAGCTGTTGCTGGTAAGTCACTGGAGTCTCCTGGATCTCCAGGCATCCCTGCCCTCTGCCTTCACCTGGGTGCTAAAGACCTTGGAGCCCCTCCTCCTCTCTGCTCTAAGCCGTAGAAGGAGCAAGAGCAGAGCAGAGAACTGAAGGGCTAGCCTAAACTAGGGCAGAGCTCTGAGCCCCAGGACACTGCTTAGGTCTCTGTCTGTCTCTGAGCTAGAGTGGGAGCCCATCACCCAAGCAGACGAAGGCTTAACCGGGACCAGAGCAGAAAGTGGCTGGCTCTGTGCTGGCTTCAATGGCACTGAGGTTTGAAAGAGGATGCACTGCCCTCCGTGGGGAGCGGGTGGACACTTGGGCAGTCCCCAAGGTTAACAGAAGTCTGAAGCTTTAGGCAACTTAGTATAGACAGGAACGGTCAGAATCGCCCCTCCCACCTATTTCCCCAAAGAAGCACCATAAAAGATCTTCAGGCAACATTACATTTGTAGAAAAGTGTCACATAAATCAAACATAGCCCGGCTTCCTTGCTCTCAGGACTTACAAACAATTGCATTTGATGTCAAGATTCTTGGTCCTGCCAGGTCTGGGTACTTAAAAGTGTGAGTCTCAGCTCTTCCAATGCCATCTCCTCCTCAGCCTCTCCTACAGGCCAGATACCGCCTCAGCAGACAGAATCGGGATCTCTAAGGTCAGAGGCAGACTGGACCCCTCCCCTACCTGGGGTACTTCTGGCTAATCTCTGCCTGCCCCTTCTCTTAGCCCCACCTGTCACTTCTCTTGGATGCCCACGGACTATCTGGCAGGCCCCCAGGGAGAACTCACGTGTAGAAAGCACTCCATTCAGGACCCTCTTGAGCTGATTAGCGCTGATCTCAGAATCCTAGAAAGAGCCCAAATGTGAATTATGTCAAACCCAACAAGCTATTTCATGGTATCCAATTAATGTCGAGGGCTCCCTCCACAGGCAGACTCTACGTCCACCTGCCCTTTGATTATTTTCAAAGCATGTGTTATTTAGAAACTCAACCTCCCCATCTCCTCCAGTGTCCAACAACCTGGAAGAGCACAGAAGGGTTCCTAGGGAAAACAGAGAGATGTCTGTGGTACAAGCTTGGCACCCAGCTCCACAGAAGGCTGCTAACCCAGCCTCTCGCTGTGTTTCATGGGACTTGCTTAGTCAGAAAGCAGAGGGTGACGAGTAGTGACCCTGGGAACTAGCGCTGATGTACCTCACGCCCAATGTGTGGCTTCATTAAACTTTTAACAAAACCGTATCCATGCTACAGTTAAAGAGCCGTGGCTATAGAAACTGCTAATCACTGCACACATGTGTGCGCACGCACACATGCACACATACATATACAATGTCTTGTATCCGTGTACCGTAACAGCTTGGGGCTCACAAGCACCAAGTGCCAGATTTTCCACACATGTGGGGGCTGTTATTTCATATAGGAACACTTTTCAGGCTGGAATTCGGATTCAGGGAATGAAACAGTCCGTGTATATTTGGTGTGAAAACTGAGCCAGAGAGAAGACGCATGTCTCAACACCCAGATAGACCTCAGGCAGGGCGAGGGACAAGGGGCGCAGCAGAAGCAGTGGACTGTGAGCTGGGTTCCAATCTAGACAATCGCTCTGGTCCTCCTGTGCTCCCCAGCCAGGACCTAACATTGGAGATCTGAGACCAAAAGTGAACAAAGTCTCCCTGAGGTGTAGGGTGCTCAGTTCTAGACTGACACCCAGGACCCCTCTGAAAAACCTCTCAGTAGATAAGTTCATTCCTCAACCAGGAATGAAATGGGACTCTCAGAGACCACTCTGGACCTTGGCTGTGACCTTCATGAGACCTTGTGACCTTGGACTACCTTAACCCTCTGTCATTTTACTAACAGAGGAGGGCATGGTGACCTGTGTCTCCTCTCTATTGCCCCTCAATGAGAGAGAGAGAGAGAGAGAGAGAGAGAGAGAGAGAGAGAGAGGAGATAAGTTTGGAGAGAAATCTACAAACAACAATGTTTTTCCTCTGGTGTTTTAGATGTGTTAGATAAAACATGGGCCCTTGGCAGCTGAGGGAACGAGCCTCTGCTGGAAAAATGCTGGGCTGAGCATCAGCTTAAAGCTAAGCCATGTATTCCATGGGAGTGCCCGGCAGTGGCCACACAGAGCGGCTGCTTGCAGGGTTGCTTTGCTTTATTGCAAGGGTGTCTGGTATATCTTGTGTTTTCCCATTCCTCCCTCATCCCCCACTCCCACACCCAACAGGGGATTCACCATATATTCCAGGCTGTCCCCAAACTCCTAGCTCCTGTGGGCTTCCAGCCTCAAACTCCCACATTCCTGGGATGACAGACCACTGAACCAGGCTTCCATTTTACTTAAGTCTGGAAAGTTTCTTTGAGCCTCAGTGGCAAAAGTGAGGTAGGAAGTATGGGTTTTCCCTTCTTGGGGTCTCTTTAGCACCTTATGACCCATCCAGGATCCCCAACTTCTATGAGGCCACTTGGTCTTGGGTGAGCTCACACTTATGACTGCTAAATGACTGGGACCAAAATGGACCGTGGGCAGCAGGACAGGGGGAGAAGGAACTGGAGAGGGAGGACAGCCGTGTATATCCTAATCACAATCATAATCATACACACACCCGAGACAGGCTTAGATCCCACAGCAGCACTGGTCTCCAGTGGGCAGAGCTATGTCTCCATTCCCAGGGCAGGTTAACTGAGTAGCCTCCTGCTGAGGCTGGGCAATTCCATCTCCGAAGGCTATCGATTTAAAGAGGTCATGCTGCCCTGGCTTTCTAGTCAGAGGCCCAATCTGACAGGACCAATTTACAAACTGAAAGGCTTTTGGCGAGACCCAGAGATTGGGGTTTTCTATTTTCTCAAGTCAGTCAAAGCAGGAAGAAAAGTGGCCTCTGGACAATAGTCACTCTGTCTCTCCCAAAACACAGGAAAAGCCTGCCAGCTTCAGACAGGGCGAGGTGACACATGATAGGCCCAGGCTGGAACCCCAGAGTCTGCAGCTCGGCCATCTGTGCTCCAGCAGCCACGGGGAGTGCAGACAAGCGTGGCCCGAGCCTGCTCCTGCCCAGCGCACGAGGCACCTGCCCTCCACACACCTTGCCTGCAAACTCTTCAAACAGGCTCTGGAAGTGTTCATTTTCTTGATCCGTGTCCCATGGATGTGGCTGGAAAGGACAACAGTGAAGAAGTTAAAACAGGAGCTGTGGGGTAAAACTTGAAGAATCCCAAGCCACCATTAGCCATTAGCATCTACTGTGAGACTGTGCTGAGCTAAACTTCCCGGGAGCTAAGTGGGGACATGCGGTGGTGTGAAAAACGTCGCCCAGGGTCTCAGGCATTTGCACTCTTGTTTCCTAGTTGGTGGCACTGCCTGGGGAGGCTTAGGAGGTATGGCCTTGCTGGTGGTGGGCTTTGGGGTTAAAAGCCTCCTTCTACTTGCCGTTTGCCCTCTCTGATTTGACTTGCATTTGGAGATGTGAGCTCTCGGCTTCCTATTCCTGCTGGCATGGCTTCTGTTTGCTGCTGTGCCTCCCTGCTGTGATGGACACTTATTCCTCTGGAACCATAAGCCCAGATAAACTCTTACAAAAGTTGCCTTGAGTGCTGTGTCCTCTGATAGCCACAGATAAGTAATGAATACAGGTGAGTGGTAAGGAAGGGAAGCACCAAGAGGGTTGGCAGTCCAGCAGGTTGCCATGCCTGATCCAGAGCTGCTCTCTGAGTCTACAACCCCTGAATTTCTTCTTTTAAGACTTATTTTAATTCTAACTATCTATATGTGTGGGGAGGGGTATGTGTCTGTGAGTGAGTGTAGGTGCCCAGAGACGCCAGAGGCGTTAGAGCCCCAGAAGCTGGAGTTACAGGCAGTTGTGAGCTACCCACACGGGCGCTGGGAACCATACTTAGGTCCTGTGCAAGAGGAGGATACATTCTTAACTGTTGAACCATCTCCCCAGACTCCTAAGCTTTGAATTTTGGGTTTCAACCTTGAATCACTTTCAGAGAACAACAAAAACAGACACAAGGAAATCTCAGGCTGGGTCCGGAGAATATCTAAGGATTTCGCCAACAACCTCGTAGGAATCTGAACTCCAGAAAGCATATGAAAAGTGTGAAACTGTTTATATGTGTTTATTGCAGAGTCATAAAAAAAGTAGAAAAAGACTAAAATGTAGTTAAGACCACAACCTAGTAGATACAACAGAACCAGAATCCAGAGGACTAGGGTCGAAATACAGACACGCTACCTACTGACAGCAGACAGCACTCACTTCCCAATGCTAATATCAAACTACCCAGGACTGATACAAAGTGTCATCTACCTAGGACTGTTACATAGTATCATCTTGAAAATCAAATAAGAGCTATCGTGTGTCAGTCCTTTGAAAATCACCAGCCATTCTATGGTGCCTTTGACCAAATGCTTTCCAAAGTATCTATGACTGTCATCACCAAACAGAACAGAAAAGCTAAAGCTTCCCAGATAGCCTGAAGAGTCTTCAGAAACCATGTTTTCTTTGAAAGCCACTAGAGTAAGCATGCAAGGCCCAAGACAGTCTGATGATGCTCTAGTCATAAGTTACAGTGGCGGGAATGATGTCGTCCTTACCTACTGCCTGCGACTTAGTGTGACCACACTGTGAGGTCATCTCATTACTATACACTTTTCACAGATGGGGAAACAGAGGTTTAGAGAGCTAAGGAACATCACAGAAAGACAGTAAGAGCCAGAGGTCGGGGAGGATGGCTGCAAAGAGGTGTCTTCTAGACATGAGAAGGCTGATATACTCATGAATCATGGTATCTGTGATTTCCTATGCAGCCCTGCACAAGATAGAGCCCGTCAATATGCCAGTGTGGGTAGGCAAGGTGTGTGAGACTCTACCCCTAACTAAGAAGGTTTGTCAGGGGATGGATGCTGATGGAGGGAAGGTCAGTTTTCTTCAGCCGTGGGGCCATGGTAGATTGCCCATGCGCCAATGAATGGCCTGGCTCCCATTTATGGTCAGCACTGATCGCATAATCCACATAATCGTGGATTATGAAGCAGGAGAAGGAGAAGAAAGAAATGAAGATAAAGTTGGGGGAGTTGGAGAGGAGAAGTGGGGTATATATTATCTAAATACATTGCTAAAGAATATAGACTTAAAACACAAAAATAAACAGTTAAGTGACAGGAGACAAGATTACACTGCAATTTAATATAATGATAGAACCAAGATTCAAATGTCCTTCTCTGCTGTCCTCTAGAGTAACAACCAGAGACTACTCAAAGAATTAACAAACCAAGACTTGGAGATTTGTACAGTAAGAAAACACCCATTCTGGTAGGCCATGAGATTTCCTGTCTCCCAAATCTTATTCCCTCAGCCTCTGTGTGTGGCTCTACCGTGAGGCTGCTGATGCTAGCATCACCCACAACATCCTATTCTCTCAGCTTCCATGGTTCTAACAGAGGTTACTGATGCTACCATCACCCACAAGATGCACAAACCGAAAGCCACACACACAGGTTCTTTAGAAGGAAAAGGTGACAGTTTCACACGTATGATTTAAAGTGGTTTTACAGGAGAGAAAGTCGCTATATTGTTCATGTACTTTAAAGTCTAGTGGCAAGCCCATAAATTCTAGATGGAGCATAATATTCTATTACTCTGGGGAGAATAGGTATGAAATTGCATTTTAAAGGGCAGAGCCAAGTGAGGCAGTGAGCCCTCGAATCCCAGTCTCCGAGAGACAAAGGCAAGAGGAACGGGAACTCAAGGCCAGCCTGTGCTCCATAACAAGACCACTACTCAGGCACATACATGACAATCCAGCATACGCATATGGACAGATGGTGTCTATATCAGACAGTCTGCCAATGAGGGGACCCATACACTGGATGTGGGACTGTTGGGACAATGGAATGGGAGGATGTGTTTATACAATAGCAAAGTGCCTCAAATTTGTTCATCCATTCACCTGGGGCAAACTGGAGGCTGCCCTGGGTCTGTGAGCAAATACAGTAAGCGATGAACAAGATTCGCAGTGTCTCAAACAATGTGTTGCCTGAGGAGTGTCTACTCTCCTGGAAGAGCGTGTGTAGAAACATTTGGCAACAATGGGACAAGGAAGGAGTCTCATGACTAGGCTGGGTGCTGATACCGTCTTAGCAGGCCTGCTCAAGGGCACACATCTGAACATCGCGAGTGGCTGGTTCACAAAGCAGCCAAGCCCTTTGCTTGTCTATCTAACTGTCCATGACCTGGAGGTGAGGACACAGGAGTTCCAGAAGGGCATGGCTCTTCCTATCTCCTGTAAAGTCCTGAGTCTAACGAAGACATTACCACTGTAGTGTGTATGCTGGGCACACATGTGGGTATGGTGTGGGCATATTCTGTGTATGTGTGTGGCATAAGTCTGGTTATTGTGCTTTACACATGCATGGTATTGTAGTGTTATCATGAAGTATATAATATACATACATGGGATCTGTATATGCAAGTATGCAGCCTGTATGGTAGGCATATGTGAGTAAATATGTGTGATATGATATTTTTGATAAGCATTGTGGTATATATTATGTGTGTGATGTGTATATAATACGCATGTATGATATATGTATGTGGTGATTATGTTATTGTGTGGTATAGAGTATGTATTGTGTGGTGTGTATATAGTAGCATGTATGTGGTATATTTTATGGTGAGGATGTAGTGAAGTATGGTGAGTACATGTGTACAGTATGTGTATTAAGTCATGTGTATGTGGTGTAGTATGTGTATGTTGGGACAGAGGTGGCCACATAGAGAAAGAGAATCAAAGATTCTGTGAACCAGAATATGCTGGAAGTCCCAGGCCTTGGAATCCCAGAATCCCTCACATGGTTCCATGTTCTGGAAACCACAGAAGGCTCTCTGTCTGAAGGCTAGTACTTTACCAAGCTACAAGCCAAATGCAGCAGCCTGTAAAGGAATGTATCATCAAATCCCAGGATGGCCAAGGCAGACCCATAGCCGGAAAAGACTTCATGTTAGTTGAGGCTCCAGAAAACCCTAAGACATGGAGATGGAGGCAGAGAGCCCCAGTGATAGCCACAACTGAGCCTCTGCCAGCCTGGTTCAGTTAACAGAAACCAAAACCGACTTGAAGATTCTGTACTGTCTACCCTGACACAGCTGTGTCTCCTCCGATGGGAGCCTGGTAAGACCCTGGGAGTGTGAAGCCGAGCGTCTGGCTGCAGCTGGCGCACAGCTGCTGAGAGTCATGCCCAGAATGAGCCTAGTAGTTCAGGGAGAAGGTTAACAAGTGGGCTGCCGACCTGAGGAGCAATCACACCAGATAGGCTACCGTAGGAAGATGAGGCAGATGACAGGGCATTTCCTGCCGCATAAACTCATTCCCAAGCCCCAGGCAGATGGGTATTCAGGTGGGATGCTCCCACTCATCTATAGAAACGCCAGCTTATATGGTTGATTATTCCCAATAATAGAACATGTCTATCCCACTGCCGTCCATTCCAGGACAGCAGGCTCAGCCACTAGAGGGCACTTTGAGTAGCAGCTGCATACAGATACTCAGTCCATTTGGGTGAAAGGCAGAAGGATGGAGCTGGACCTGTGTCAGGTAAAGACATTCCCTCACCCCTGGGTTCTGTCCCATGAAGAAGAAAGAAATCACACACACACACACACACACACACACACACACACACGCACGCACGCACGCACGCGCGCGCACACACACACACACCACAAATATACACACGAATATGTGTGTATGTATGTGTGGTGTGTGTGTGTGTGTGTGTGTGTGTGTGTGTGTGTGTGTAGACTAGTGAACAGAGGCTGGTGTCATTCCTTAGACACTATAGCACTATGTCCCAGAGAAATAAAATGTTACTAATCTCAATATATAAAGAACTCCATTAAATTAATAAGAAACTTGAATGCCTGCTACATAGTAGTGTGAGAGTTTGGTATAACTGTATTGCATACTGCTGCGGGATAATCTTTTTGTACACTGTGAAGATAGGTATTTGCCAAGGAGCCTGCTGATTGGTTTAATAAAGAGTTGAAAGGCCAATAGCTAAGTATGAAGAGTTTAGCTGGAACTTCCTGGAGAGAGAGGAGCTGTAGGTGGTGGATTGAATCTAGGCACACATGAGAGACACCAGCGAGACATGGAGAGAGTCAGACATACAGAATGAAGGAGAGGTAAAAATCTACATGGCAGAACGTAGATTAGTAGAAATGGGTTCATTTAAGTTATAAGAGTTAGTGGGACAAGTCTAAGCTAAGGCCAAGCCTTCATAATTAATACTAAGTCTCTGCATCATTCTTTGGGGCTGGTGGCCCCTATGAGAAAGTACTGCTACAGCATACCTTGTGTGGGTTTCCAGCCACAGCATCCCCAATTTCTCTGAAATTCAGACAGAAGCGAATTAAACACGAAAAGGCAAGTTTAGTCAACGGTTGGGTTCTTTCAGAGGGAATTTTCTCTAATGGGAAGTTGATTTTACACCCAGGATTTTCAGTTCCTGCTTTAAAAAAACAACTGTATAGCTGAACCCCTAAAAGGAATCCTTCCCCTTTACTGCCCCAACCACGACCTGCCCTGACATTTTCATCAGAGGGTCTAGAATGCTGAGCATAGTGAGTCCTGAGACACTCCCCATCTCACCCCAGGGGCTCTGCTCTTTCTTATGAAACCTCACGGCTGCCATGTCCTCTGCTGGTCTCATGGAGAATGTGAAGTATGGGGGTGGGTACATGGCAGGGAGATAGGTAGTGTGTATGTGGTGCGCCTTAGGATTTGCAGTATGGTATGTGTTTGGTGCACGTGGTATGTGGTACATGGGATATGTATATAATTTCTGAATGTCTATGAGAATATTCTATGTGTGATGTATGTGTAATGAGTATGTGTGCTGTGTGTGTGAGTAATGTATTAGTGGTATACACACATATTGCATGGTATTGAAGTATATGGTATGTATTATGTATGTAGTGTGTTAGGTGTGCACGTAATATGTTATAGTGTGTGTATATGATGTGGTATGAATAATATATGTATGTTTTGTACGTTATGTATCTGATGCATGTGTTGTTTGTATATATGTTATACACAGTGTGCATGCTATACATGTGTATGTGTTTACCTATAGTGTATATGGTATTGTATACATATATAAGGAGAGGGTGCATAGATGGTACATATGTTGTATATATGTCCAGTGTATATATAGTATGTGGGTTGCATGTAATGTGTATAACTGGTGTGTATGTCTATGGTGTGTATACTGAGTATGTGTGTACTGTGTGTACATTCCTGCACCAGATCTCACCAGCTTCTGCCAGGAGGTAGGAAAGCTGGCCAATAGGTTGTTGATGGTGCCCTGTCTCCCCAGCCCTGACTTTTCTGGATGAAGAAATTCCTAGTACTGTAGAGGTAGCAGGAGACACACCCAGGGTAGGCCACTGGGTGTCCTTCTTCCCAAACATCCTCTAGACACAGGGGGCAGGTGCCTCAGTAATCCGTGCCTCAGCAATCGGTGCCCCCCACGGCTGCACTCCCACCTGTGGCCTCATTCAGAAAACATCCCCACAAAGCAGACGCACAGAGCCTGGGCCTTCTTCTCTGAGAACACCCTCAAGCAGAAGTCACCATCCTTGAAGGGCTCGAAGGTAGATGGCACCACCAGGTACTGTCCTGGGGGCAGTCGGACCCGGCTGGACACTTCCCGCAGGTTCATGTAGGTGCTGGAGCAGGCAGAAGGTTGGTGGGTCTGGAAGAAGTCCTGGCCCAGGTGAGCATCCGTGTGACTCTCCAGCTGCACAGAGCAATGGGCAGAGTCAGTTTCTCCTTGGAGTTCAGCCCGTCCTGTAGAATTAGGGATTGCCCCCTGTGTATAAGATCGGAAGGCTCTCAGTCCAGTCACAAGCTAGCACTGTGTCTCAATCATCAGGTGGGTTGGGGTATCTCCTGGGTACCAAGCCCAATGAGGTGGGGCCTTAACCATGACCTTGACCAGCCTCTCTGCCCTGTAGTTCTCCCCAGTTAAATGAAGAGTGAACCTTGGGGTGTCTAGTGTGGCCTTTGCATATCTTTCTTCATGATTCCAGCAACCAGACTCTGCAGCTGTCCCTGTGAGAACAGCATTGACCCTCAGAGTCCAGACCAGGACTGAAGAAGGAACCTTCAACCCTGGTCCTCAAGCGAAGTGCCCGGGACGGCAGCGACAGCAATTAAAGCGACCGAGCTCTGAAGAAGACAGACAGAGAAGGGAGCTATCCAAGCCTGGTTCTGGGTCCCTCCTGGCCTCCTGGGGATCAGGACTCTTCCTCAGAGAGGGCAAGATACTCCCATAAATCTGTTGTGAAGAAGAGCGGGAGGATGCTGCCATTGTGTGACTCGGGCTAATTGCTGACTGCAGAGTGCTCCGAAAACACAGGTGCCAACATTGTTAGCGCTGTAATTAAGCCTCCCCAGAGCCCCGTGTCTCTACAATCAATCTTTGCACGATGCCCATGACAGAGGCAGGTGCATTCAAGCTGCAGGAGCCGAAACACCCACCCTGGAGTGGCCAGTGTCCATGCATGGCCACAAGTTCTGAATCTCAGTTCTGCTGATCAGGGGAGAAAAGTAGGACCCCTTATTGTGCCCCCCCCCGCCCCATCATTGTCCTGGTCAGGACGCCTCAGGGATCCTTCCAGGTGGCAGCTGAGACAGCCACAATGCTTGGAATTCTCTCTGAAAATGTATACATAAGTTTTGGTTTCGATTATTTTCCAGTGTGAGAATAGTGCACCGAACCACACACCCTGTCTGTCCCCTACGTGATAAATAGCTTGCATTTGTGACACAAGGGCATGAAAGACCAGTAGTCTGCAATCTGGGAATACAGTCTGGGCCTCGCTACCTACATCCCTGGTCAAGCTGAGAGCCTGAGAGAGGGAAGGAGGCAGCAGCCTGTCACACGCTACTGTATAATTAGTGCAAGTGACTCCAGGTCAAAACCCAGTCATGGTTCCTCACTGGAGTCGAGGGGCTGTTTATAAACCTCCAATGCCTGTGTTCTCCTGACCCCAGGAGGCTGCCATAACTTGCTTGGATGTAGCCTGTACACTGAGAATTTTTTGACTTTCGAGGCTGCAGCTGAGATGACCCTGGGCCAGCACACTCTGGGTCCTAGCTTTGGGCTGACTATGCTCTCTGTGGGGTCATGCAAGTGTGTTTCCCATATGTTCTGGGTATTTCCTGGCTCCTACCTTTAGTCAGTCTAGGTGGGTGGTACCGGTGAACAAGGCTCAGGAGGTCAGAGGGAACCTCAGACCATAAGGACACTACTAATCGGATCCTCTAAGCCAGTTGTGAGTTACTGAGGAGCATAGGACAAGCAAGAGCAGAGGGTGAAGTTGGCACTTCCCTTTCTAATCAGACACCAGAGCACTTGTTCCTGTGGCCAGACAAGAAGGACCCTACAGTATGCAGTAATCGCCTTATTCAGACCAAGCCACCTTTCCTATGGGGCAAGGCTCACTCCTGTTCCCTTCACAAAGGGTCTGACAGGTGGGGCTTGCGCTTGTTTTCACTGGCTCTCAGGACTACCAGCTCATGGGATCAAAAGAGTAGCCACGGGAGCCTGTCTCCATTGCAGCATGGAGCCAAAGGCGGGCATGCCCTTGCTTACCCTGTGGAGACCACCTCTGTCCAGGCCATACTCACATACCTCCTTGGGAATCTGCAGGACAAAAGACAAGAACAGGTCACCTGGGAGCTCTCCCGACACCTTGAGGACAGACAGACAGACAGACGACAGCACACAGAGAGGAAGTTGGAGCGACGGACGGTAAGCATTTCTGAACTGAAAAGTGATTGGTGGATTCAAAGCCATGTGCAGACGGCTGAGTCCTAGAAATCCGGGGCTGGGGAAGCCCTTACCTTTTACTTTGTGTAATCTACCCAGATCTCCCAAATACTTCAACAGTAATAACGTTTGAGCTTAAATTGGATCCAAGTTCTTCCCACCCTGGGCCTGGCAGAGCATGGATTTGGCTGGAAGAAAATTCCACTCAACCTAAGTCACAACTGATACTAACTTCAGCCATAGTGACCCAAACTGGGCCTATAGGAGATTCTGTCAACATTTTTAAATTGGAAGGACAGGGGCTCCTTCCTTTACGCTGGCGATGTCAGGCAGTGTAGAAGCTAGACAAGGGGGATGTCACTGACGTAGGAGAAATGGATGTGGTAGCCTGACTCCCTCATCCCAGCAACCTTCCTCCTCACCCCTTGCTTTGATTACAGGATATAGTGAGTTCTTTGTCGCTGGCTCGACTGCAGCTCTCTCCTCAGGCACAACTGTGGAGAAGAGCAGCCAGACCCAGAAGGGGAGCCCTGCTATGCCCAGTGCTCCTGTGTCAGGCTAGAAAAGAGAATCCCAGCCCTCCTGTGTCCTCGCTCCCCTGCCCTACCACACAGGCTGTTTGAACCAGAAGAGTGTCCTGGCAGCTTAGGCCCATTGTGCGACTGCCTTCCATGCTGAGGGGAAGTGAGGTCTGACTGGAATTCTCTCAGCAGAGCTAGAGCAGTCAAGGGGCATGAGCTCTCCTCTCATTTGGAGTTTGAAACACAATCAGCCCCGCAGAGGCCTCCCTGCCTATCAGGAGCTTCCGTAATTCCTTTGACCAGCTTCCTCTCAGCGACCTGGACACTTCTGACAATATGCTCTGAGTCCACCTGGCCCTGAGTCTCCTGGGCCAGACAGGAAGAGCCACTGCCCACAGAGACTGGAAGGGCAGCCATCTGTGAAATGCGAGATTCTGCGTGGGTGGCAAACGGTGGGCTCTTTAGCCTTCAGGGGTGCCTGGCAGCTTCTCAACTGGTAAGACTTCAGGCTCAGGCTAGAGTCTAGTTTTAGACGGCTATAGCCAGAGAAGGGAGACACAAGCAGGGATGAAACTATGATATCCCTGCAGCCCAGCTATTCCCCACAACCCAGATACTCCTCTCACCCAGGCTGCTCCTATTACTCCAGCTGCCCCATCCATCTCCACCCAGCTCCTCAATATGACTTCAAAATTGTGTGACCAATCTGTTCACAGAGTGCACGCTCTAAATTACATGCCTCCGATGTCAGGAAGAGGGACCACATATCACACACCCTGGAGTAGTTTATAAACAGCTATAATTCGATACACGAAACTGACATGCTGTGTGTGTTATTTATTGGTACAAACAGCATACCAGACACAGTCATTGAGAAAGGATGTTTTGTTGCTCTGACACAATGAAGGAGGCCTGACGGATGGAGCACTGGTCACCGTCCCTAAGCGGCTCACCCTGTAGCCACCCCTGCCAACTGACGGTTCTCTGAAACAGTCACTAGGTTTTAAGCCGTCAGAGAGCACATGGCATGCCTTCGGGGTTGGCTGTTCTCTCTTCTTCACCTTTGAAATCTACGTTATCTTTGCAGACCTGATTAAAGTCTCAGCCAGCATGAACTGAGGAGCCCAGGCTGCTGTGGTGACACCACCGTTACACATCCCTCCTGCCCTGTCATCGGTTTCCCATTCCTGACTGGGAGCACCCAGAGGACAGGAACGGTGTGCTAGTACCCAGCGTTCCCCGCTCTGGCTTTGCACATGATACGGAGTAGATGATCAGGCAAGTGTGTTGTGTTGGGATGCGCGCAGGGCTATAACGTCTGGAAGCAGTGAGGGTGGCCTTGCAGTGTTTATGCCTAGGCAGGGTTCTGGAAGAGCAAAGTTGGAGTAAAATGGAGCTTAGTTACTTTCAGTTCTTTTGTCTCGCCATTAAGTAGCAATTCTTTTCCAACCCCCATTCTTCCAATTACACACACACACACAGGTACATGCACACTTGCACATACTTTGTTAGTGCTAATTGCCAACTTGATAGAATCTTGAATCACTTGGAAAATAAGCCTGTCAGCTTGTGTAGGATTGTTAATTTACATATGAAGACTTGCCTACTGTGGGTGGCACCATTCCCTAGCTAGGGCCTTGGCATAGGTGAGTGCGGAAAGGGAACTAAACAGTGTGTGGTCACTGCTCTCCTAATGTTTGCAGACACAAAATGACTGGTTGCTTCAAGTTCCTGCTCCCCTGACTTCCTGCCATGGTGAACTGTGCATTGATCAGTAAGCTAAAATAAACCCTTTACTAGGTTGTTTTTGTCAGGATATATTTATACACATACACACATGCACACGCACACTCACACACACCTGAAACCCTAAGTTTAAGAATATGATAAAGGGAGCTGGAGCAAGAATGTATGGGCTTGGCAACTGAATCTTTCCTTGTTACAAAATTTATTACAATACTTCTTATTATAATGCTTATTTTATGTGCATTAATTTACAGTGAGATGTTGGGCCTCCCAACGGCCCTGGGTCTTCCTGATTAGAATTGTATTTTTAACCAGGAAATTCACTTATAATAAAACCATAACAAAAAGTTAAAATCTGACTCCCCGTGGGATACATTGTATGGAGTCTCTGCCTGGGTAAAGAAGTAGCATGGTCCTAGCTCAATTGTCAAGTTATGAAGACTCGATTTACTGTATCAGGGAGACAATGTCCACAGAAGGGTAGTTACTGGAGAAGGCTGGCATCATGAACCAGGGACTGAAGTCTGAGACAAGAACCAGATGTGTTCCTCAACCCAGAGACTCTAGAACCAAAAATGACTGTGTGATTCCTCTTACCCAAGCTGGTACCTTATGTGTTTCAAATGACCTCCTATGGTAGACAGAAGGGATTATGTACATTTGACTTTTGTACCCAGCCACATTCTTCCACTCTGAAATGCATTTTATTGCACACATGTTTTTCACTCTCACATTCTGGGCTCCTGTACCCTGAGACACCTCTTCTTGGAAAAGAGTCTAATATGCAAAGTCGCATCGAGTTCTCACTGACAGGCAAAGTGTAATGAATTGTGCATCTGAGTGTTAGCAGCAAAAATTCCAGCCATAGGGATGAGTCCCTAACCATGGAACCCAAGCAACAGTAAGAGTTCTAGGAAAGTAAGGGAGCGAGGATGACATCGTATATAAGGATATTTGGGCAATAGAAATGATGAACGCCAATCACTGACTGAAACATCCCAATCAAAGACACCAGTATACCCCGACAGAGGAGCCTGGTTCAGCTGTACCTGGTAGACAGCGTAGCCTATGCTGAGCATGCCCTGGCCAATCCTCTTTTGTCGTCTGCGATTCTTCTGCATCAGACCCAGCAGCACTGTACAGCAGGGTTCACTGATGCCCTCCTCCTGGTCCTCATCCACCTCATCCAAATGGATTTTGAACTGGGGGTTGGTCCAGTAAGTGCCTGGAAGTCATCCAGTGGCAGTGGTCCAACAGGGGCGAGGAGATGAAGAAGGGAAATTTTTTAAAAAGGGAAGAGCCTCCATCATCCCCATGAAAGGCTAACGCTGGCCAGACTGCCTGGCATGGTAGAAGTGGAGAGCGGTCCTCCCACCTCCCTGCCCTGCCCCATAAGTACATACTTAGAATGTCTATCTTGTCGGCTTGATCATCCAGTAGCCTAGAACTGTGGTGAAATCTGAGATCCTGTCATCCCAGGCTGCTCTGGGCTGCACCAGGAAGTAATATATTGCCTTCCTGGAAGCCTTCCATTTCTTCCTGTTCTTACCTGAAGACTCCACCTGGAGCAGCTCCTTAGGGAAAAGTGTGTCTCTGAGATGATTGACAGCAGAGTCCTGGGAGAACCAAGGAGGCCCCTGCCTGATACCTAGAAAGCCACTTGACCACCATGTGCTCCTCCAAGCCCAGAAGCCCTAGCTTTGGGTTTTTAACCCCATGAGGCCCTGAGACACAGTCTCTATCCCTCAGCCCAAGGAGCCACCCATGATGCCAAGTGTTGCAGCCTACTGATGAGACACATCGTTCAATAGTGTAAGAGAAATCACAGTGTCATTAAGCATTCCTGCTACACCACCTATGAATACTTAAACAGATGCCTTTTGAGTTGGGGAGATGACTCAGTGGGTAAGGGGGCTTGCTGTACAAGCAAGAGGACCTGAGTTCAGATCCTAGCACCATGTCAAAGTGTCAGTTATGGCTATGCATGTGTTTTGGGGGATATTTGACCACACTGTGATTGCATTTGTGTTGATTAAATAAAATTAACCTTGGGTCAGAGGGCTGAGGTAGCAGCTAGTTGACAGAAAGTAATCATAGAGCATCAGAGACCACCTGGGAGATAGAGAGTCACAGGATGTAGTAGGACTTGGAGTGGCACAGGCCTTTTTAGGTTTGGTGAAAGGGAAGCATGGGTCTTCCATGGACACCAGCAACGAGAAAGTTGTTTCTCAGTCTCTCTGAGCTAGCAGGTTTTCACCCCAGCCTTGGAATCTCGAGTATTATTCATAATTAGAATGATAGAGATTTAGCCAAAGCGACCTTTAATGGCAGCGACAGGGCCAGTGCCTGTGGCCTGAGCTGTCAGGCTGCTGATAGAGAAACAGGCCGATAACTGCAGCATTGCAGTTGCTGACTGAGAGCGCAGTAGATTAAGGCGCAGTCACTGTGCTAAAGTTAAAACAACATTTGGTCTTATATAGGGTCTGAGGAAACTGGAAGAAAAGAGACACAACTTCCTAGTAGCCTGGTGCTTGTAGCATACAGAGGACAGTTTTGCTGTACAGAGAGCACTTGAGCAACCAGCACATCAAGTAGAAACAAGAAGCTAAGAAAAACACCTGACACAGTGCAGGCACCAAGAGCTGGGGCACTTAAATGCAGCTTCTAGTAAGATGCGGCTCTCAGTTAAATGCAGCTCTTGGCCATGCCCACAGGGCATAAAGCTCTCACAACTATTAACCTCAAATATTTTGCATTGGTATAGATTTTGATATATTGGTACAAATTTAAAGTTATTTTTGTTATACTGTGTGTGTGTGTTTCTACTGTTGTTTAAGGTATTGTACCTATGCATCTCATTTTAAAATGTAATGTATAATTAAGAAATACAGGTCAGTAATCATAAAAATCAAACTTGTAGTCATGTTAGATAGGTTTTCAAAGTTAAACAGATATATTTAGATAGATAGGTAATCTTCAAATTCTTCAGAGACCTACAGAATATTGCATTTATTTTAATATGTTTAATATTGTATTGTGTTTAATAAATTAAGACTTTTCATGACAGCAGGGCACATCTGCTCCTAGCAGCACCAATCTACTTCATAAAAGAATGTTGGATATTGAATAATCTCCATATAGAGTTTGCTTCCATTGTGACAAAGCTAGCCATTTGGGCAAGAAATTGTCCTTGCCTCAACTGCTGACAGTATAACATCCAAACTAGACATGTAGGACACAAAAGAAAGTATCTATTGAACTTTGCCAAAACAAGGTGAGGTAGTCCTTCAAAATTCCTGCTTCATAGAAAAGTTTGCCAGATATTCTGCTAGACAAGGGAAAGTGACTGCCAAACATTGCCAAGACAAAGTGAGACAGTCCTTCAAAATTTCTGCTTCATAGAAATGTCTGCCAGATAATCTTCAGCCTGTAGGCTGAAGATGGATGATCCAATGCTGCAGAGGAAACTTGGGTAACTATATATAGTTTTACTATATTAAAGTGAAAAACTTTTTATTTAGGCAAACGGGATAAATAACATAGGATAGAACATTTGTTTATGTAAAGATATGTTGTATTTGTTTATGCTGTATTTGTTTAACTATTAAAGATGTGTTGCTTTTGTTGCATTTGTTTAACTATGTAAAAATATGTTGCTATTTCACCTTGCCTGCCTAAGATACCTGATTGGCCTAATAAAAAGCTGAATGGCCAATAGCTAGGCAGAAGAGAGATGGGTGGGATTGGTGGGCAGAGAGTAAAGGGGAACCAGCCAGTCATCTGGGGGTCAGCCAGCCAGACATAGAGGAAACAGAAGAGAAGCATAGACAATCCATAGATGAGGTAAAGAACCTCAGAGCAGTACATCAATTAGTAGAAATGGGTTCATTTCTAAAGCTAGCTAGAAACAAGCCTAAACTAAGGATAAGCGTTGATAATTAATAATAAGCCTTTGTGTCATGATTTGGGGACTGGTGGTCCAAGAAAACCTGCAACACATGTCCCTGTAAATGCAGTGCTATTGGGGTATACAAATGGAGGCAGGGATTGTTGGCAGAGCCCCAGGTTCAGTAATAGACCCTGTCTCAAAGGCTTAAGAGACAGAGTGCAAAAGAGCATGAATAAGAAGATGCGGATAAGGCACAGTGTGGATACTTAACATCTTCTACGAGTATGCATACACACACAAACACAAAGCAATGCTCCACACACGCGCAAGACACCTTTATTCAAAGGCAACTTTTGAACAGGCTCTCTCAACTTAGTAACTATCCAAGCTAGGCACAGAGGAGCCTAAGGGATCCGCCACAGACACACAACAGTTCTCTGATGGAATTGAGCTAAGGGTATAATTGAGGAAGCTGGGTCTGACAGACTCCACCATGCTAGGTTGTCAATTGCAACAAAGCATTGGGGAGGAGTGGATTAGGATGAGCAGGGCTTGGTGGGTGTTTTTACAATCTCTGCATGGCGGTGAAAACTCTGTAAAGCCACATAGCATTCTCCTATGTCCAAGGCCCATTCATTATTTTTTTCTTTAACAGTGAGAATACGTATTCAATTCCTCCTTCTCAGAGCCTGCATTTCTAGGTTTTATTTTTCCACTCAAGGCATAGGTGTATATAGATTTTAAGATCAGGTGTCTGTGAATTCCGGGGGAGACAGAAAATTCGGTAATCTTCTGTGCTTACTTCATTACCACGAGGCAAGAACAATCCATTTCTTCCTGACAGCTAGCTGGCAGCCCAGATGGGATTATGATTTGGTGCATGCAGACACCTTGGGCACCCCCTATGGTTCTGAGCTTCCAGAATGATCCATGCGCATTTCCTGTGTCTTTTCTAAGAGCTTGTTAATGGTGAGCATATTTTAATTTCTCCCAAATGTAGCATTACTGCAATCCCTACGTTTTTTGTTTACTCCTTAACAGTACTAGAGGAAGAGAATGGGCCGTAAAAATAATCCATCCCATTTGTCTAACACTGCACAGTTTACAAAGCGCTTCCCCGTGTGCTCTGCACGGCAATGCTCCTGTGGGCCCCAGCGAGCTGGAAGGTAGGAATTATGAACCCTTGTGAGGACTGAAAAACTGAAGCTCCAGGAGAGGAATACCCCTCAGGTCTCACGACCTGACTGACGGGGGCAGGCCACCAGCTCCCGTTTCAGATCTGTCAACATTGGTCTTTGTAACCAGATGGAGATGGATGGGGAAGAAGGTAAGACCTTGTGCTCCCGGTCTGAACCCACATGGGGTTTTACAATGATGCTGCCATTTCTACAGCATGCAGTGCTCTCTGGCTGGGAAGAAAGCGGCTACCCCTCACCCCTGCATGGAGATACTGAGTCAATCAACACAAATCAACAGAGCAACAGCAAGCCAGGGAAGCATGGAGGTAGGGAACGAGCAAGAGGGGAGTGTGTTTTTCTTTCCTTTGTTTCTCCCGAGAGCTGGGGGTCATGTCTCAGTGGTTTCTTCAGCAGCTGACTCAGTGGACGCGACCTAGGAGGAGTCTACACAAGTACATGTTAGTCATCTGTCAAGAACCAGGGAGGCCGCTCTCACCTTTAAGGAGCCAGAGCTAATGCAGAGGCAGTGGTTTGCACAAGGACATCCCCGCCAGGGAGAGATCCCTGATGACCCCCCCACCCCACTGAATGGAACACGACCCACACATAGCCTGTGTCTGTCCATTCCTGACTCCACGCCCTCACCCCTTCAGCCATAACTTGGGCAACACAAGCAGAATGGCCGCTCTTCTGAGTGCAGGCCACCGAAAACACTCAATTGTCTACTGACATCGTTAACTGCTCTACCCCCAAGTTCAATGTGGTGGTGTCAGCCAGCTGAACCAGGGAGGGTATGCCAAAGGCCAAGGGAAGAACAGGAGGCCTTAGTGATGGCCCAAGGACAGGCAGTGAGAAGAGGCATGCCGAAAGGACAGGGGTGGCTGAAGCATGGATGGTTTAAACAGGCAGAAGCCGAGACAAGGCCTCAGGTAGACAGCTGCAAAACCACTGTCCACCCTGGCTGGCCTGACCTCCAAGCCAGAGTAGAAACAGCACCTCAGACCCAAGGGCATTCATTATCCAAAGATCCATCCTAAAAGCCATGCAGCCCAGGGAGGAAGAGCCGGGTGGCCTTTGCCTCACCTGGGTAGTTCTGGCAGCCCCCAGCTGTGGAGCCTCGTGTCCAGCGGCCGTTGAAGAGCACCATGTTCCATTTGTGGGCCTCCTCACTGCTCAGGGAGTCTGGGGACAAGTTGCATATTTCCAGTCGAGAGAACTGCTTCAAGAAATCCGAGAAGGACATCCTGAAGAACAAAGGGACCGGAAGGAAGTGTGGATGAGGTGGGCTGGACCGGAAGAGAGATTGAAGGTCCAAGAATGAGCTCTGTTCTTCCAAGCAGCTGTAGACTGCCCAGATCCAGTTCTACGGTCCAGGGACCCAAATAAGCAGGGCTACCATGTAAATTTGTCACTGTGGTCAATATCTCTGTTTCTGAAGAATCTCCCTCCTGTGTCTGCCAGCCATACAGAGTTAGGACCAGGAACCAAAGGGCAACCGCCCCCAGTAGGGGATACCAGTGCAGCCCTTGCCTCTAAGCTGTATTGTTTCAAGCTCACAGCGGGCAGTTAGGCCGTTGTGGGCAATGGCTTGGACATGAGAAGAGAGGTAGAATTATACTAGGGTGCAGGCGCAGAGAAAAAGAAAAGCCCCCATGCTAGGAACATCATCACCTTTCTGGAAATCCTGGCCTGAGCACCTGAGCACCTAGGGGTCAGGGAATAGCACACAGAAGGGAGACAGCCCTTCTGCACACAGCCTCTCACCAGAACTCTCCGTCCTCTGCTCTCTTGTCCAGCTCTTCCTTCTTCCTGGGATCTATGTAATTCCACTCAGGTGCTCTGTGGAGGGGGGAATAATGAGCCAGAGGCAGCCATTGCCAAGATGTGCAAGCTGTTTGCTGCAGCTAAATGTCCCCAAAGGACCACAGAAGGGACGCCCCCACATCAAGGAAAGGAGACAGGTATGAAGCAGGGTACCACTGAAGGCAAGGAATGAAGCCAAGGGCATGGGCTCCTACAGGGGTCATTGGGCATGCAGCAGAAACATAACGGTTCCATTCTAATTTTCACTCTCTAGGTAAGTTTTCCATTCCTATTAAGACTCACAGACCTCTGACCATAGGAACAAGGCGGTCCTGCTGCTAGAAAGGCAGGTGCTCCTGTATCCATTAGGGACTTGTCACTCTGATCTTCTATCAGACTGGGGTGAATCTATTTATAAGAGGGCCCAGCCAGCTCCAGGGACACAGGTACTGTCCGCTTCCTAAGAATACAGCTTTGATCATCAGGCCCAGTTTTATGGAAATTTCCTAGAGGTAATGTCACTCGGTGTCCTGCTGGTAGCCTTTCTGGAACAATGTACTTTGTTCAAATGCCATCTACAGCTGCCTGACCTTTACGGCTTTGGGCTTTCCTGAAATGTGCATTGTCTAGGTAAGTGAACAGGGTTAGTATCAATCCTAAAAAATTAACAAAAGCTTTTCCATGACCATACTCAACAAAAGCCCTGCTCCTCCCTCATCAGCCAAGAAGACAGCCAGACCCAACCTCCCCCTCCAGCTGACTTCTAAGCACTTGGGGACCAGCAGAAGTGTCCTGGGGCTTCTTAAAGTCATCAAGTGCAGTCGTGTGTTTGAAATGATTAGCACCGTGCTTAACCCAGTAGCAAGCAATCAATAAATGTAAACTTCCATGCTATGGTGTTGGTTAGGGAGTACTGAACATTCATTTAGTTAGTGCTGAGTCCCACCGTGTGGCTTAGTGCAAGCAAAAGTTATGGGATCTGGTTGAGAATTCTAGATCTAATCTAATCTCCAGGTAAGTTTGATTTTTGTTGTTGCTATTGTTGATGTTTCAAACTTAAACAACAGCAAAGCAGAGCTGGATGCTGAGTTCAGACACATCACCTCGAGCTTCCATGTCCTCTTTCTCCAACCACCAGTAGGTAAATAGTTCAGACCGTGGCTCTGGCTGGTAGAAAATGTTGGGGACACAGATGCCAGAGTATAGCCACCCCAGGCCCTCATCTCCCTGGACTGACTTCCCTTACCAGGAGACAGGCAGTACAGAGGTTGTACTTCCACCCAATAATCAACACCTACTCAAGAACTCATGGGTAAGGGGCACACCCACTCATCACTGCCTGGGTGGGCCATGGCTCCCAGGATCAAGGTTTGCCCAACATCTTTGTTTTTTCTTGGTACTGAGGAGAACAGTGTTTGTGGCAGGGAAATCTAATTGCAAGTGATTGATTTTACCTTGTAGTACCCAGTTTGTAGTACCCAGTTTGTAGTACCCAGTTTGGTAGGTAGAAAATAAGTAGAAAAAATTCCACAGAGCTGCCAAATTTCCAAGTGTCAAGGCAGAAATTCATAATCAAAACCTGCAGCAAAAATGGTTCTATTCTACTTTTCCCTTCCTGGAACCATGGGATAATATTTCCAAAGCACACTGTGTCATCTACAGACAGCAAGTGCTGCAGAACCCGCTAAACAACAGATCGCATTGCTCATGGTGTGTGTTTTATGACCTTTACGCAGGGAGAGGTGATCACTGGGAGAGAGAGAAAGAGAGAGAGAGAGAGAGAGAGAGAGAGAGAGAGAGAGAGAGAGAGACCTACGCATCACTCCAGGCTCCAGACCACTCCACTTCACCCCACGGATTCCTCAATCTGATCAGCTTCTCTGGGCAGCCACGGAAATCCACCTGCAAGAGCCATACACAGGCAAATCACCACACTGCTGCAGCCTGGAGCTCATGTCTGCACCCAGGGCGTTCAGTGTTTCAAATATCTCCAAGAGACCACACTTTCCTCTGCTTGCCATGCTTGCTTTTAAGCTTTGGAAAAATGTTTGTTTTCACAAGCTATTAGAACAAATGAAGAGCAAATCTACCACAAACCAATGATGTATCTACTTAAACGTAGGTTTAGAATTTGCAATTGATTAAGTTGGACCTTGTTCTGAATATCAGAGACAGCATCCTAATAAATGCCCCCCTAACAAAGCCAATAGCATGGAAGTTAACATTTATTGATTGCTTACTAGTTGGGTAGGCATAATGCTAAGCATTCCTCCGATGCATGATTGCTTTATTTAAACTTCACAGTTCGACTTCAACAATATGAGACTCAGAGAGGCCCAGTTATTCAAGATTACCTAGTCAGCTGTCTAGCTATCCCCTCCTCGAGAAAACTCATTAGACTTGGGAAGTAAAGAAAACGTGGGGGCCCAGGAAATTCCTGAAAGCTGTAAGATTTACAAAGCCCATCCCCAAGGCTATAAAAGCAGCGGGCAGTTGCAGGGCGAGCAGAGAGTCTCCATTGGATGCTGCCTGCAAGTCATGCAGGGAGCTCCAGGGGTGCAGTTTTCGTGTGTCCGCACCATGCTGGCTTTCTGGTGATGCAGCTGCATTTGAGTCGTCCGTGCTCCTGTAGGCATGTAAGCCACATAACCACTGATTCATGGAGGTGGAGCTGGGCAGAATTGCTTCTTTGCTCTATCTTCACTGTTGCCTTATCTGGTGAGTGGATGCTTGCTCACATCTCTCCAGGAAAAGGTAGGTGCCTAGCAGAGTGTCTCCAATGTCTAGTATTATAAATGCCCTCAAGTACTTATGGTAAAATTTGGTCACTGCAGTCGTGGGGCTTGCAAGTGGAGCTTTCAAGGGATTAAAACAGGAGATGGGGTTACTGTCTTTGCTACCTGAGTTCACTCTTCTAGTGTGAGTTCTCATTCTCTCAGGACTTGATTAGTTGCTAAAGGTATTATACAGCAAATGTTCTCTCGTTTGTCTCTCTTCTGAGTGTGCCCACTTACCCTTCTGATTGATGCTGTTATGAAGCTGCATGAAGCTACCCTGTTATACTTCCCAGACTCCAGATGTATGAGAAAACAAAACAAAAGCAAAAACTCTTTCTTTTATAAATCTAGATTCAGGCACTGTGTTATAGTAACAACAGAAAAGACTCAGCCACTACTTCGCGAGCACTCACGTATGATCCGCATGCACCGCTGCACACATCCTGACACATATACACTTAAACAGGTCATTTTACCTGTTTAAGGTAATACAGTTTAACAGACATTTAGAGCATCATCATTCTCGTCACACACTAGCCCAAAGTTTCCTCACACTCTCAAGTCATGTTTACGAAGTGGACTTGATTTAACAAGACCACGTCCAGGCGGAAGGCGTGTAGTGAGTGATGTCACCATTGCAATAAGCAGCAAGAGCTGGAGTCCTTGGTGTGTGGCTTTTTCTGCATGACCCCTCAGAACCCCAAAGAAAATTCATTCCTCAGCACTGTCTAGGTTGATGTATTTTATCTTTATCTTTTCGTCCTCTTATATTTATACTTCTAACTATAAACCAAATTATTCAACTTCTATCTGGATATAGGTGGACATATGAAATAAAAATCACGAATAGTAACGGGCCATGCTGGGACCAGAGAATGGAGAATATCAACATGCCTTCCACTATTAAATACCACCCCGAACACTGGAGTAGAAATCCTTTCTTCTTTTAGGGACTCCTACGGGTTTATAGTGCTTTGCCTACGTGAGCATTTGTCTGGGCTGTGTGTAGACTCTAACTAATAGTCCCTATGACTTTTCTGACTCTGTCTCAGAAGAGTCAAACTTAGCAGAAACCAGAGAGACAGAGCTTAGACAGTCCTCTGAGAAGCCAAGAGTCGCAGGGACCCTGTGGAGAACCCAAATCAACAGCTCATCTGTCTGGGGCTCTGCATCCCAGAGAAACTTGCCCTGAGTAAGCAAAGAAAGCTCCAAGGCAACTCAGAACTTCTCAGTGTGACCTCCTACTCTTGCTTGGGACATCCCAGATTTCACATTAACCCCTTCCTACCTCTTCGACTCCGGTAACAGAGTATGCATGACCCTTCACCAGCTTTTGCCTGGTGGTGGCTTCTGCTTCGGCTGCACTTGAGACCTGGTCAAGGAGAGAGAATCCGATCAGGCAGGGTGACCCTGACCTCTTTGGAGCCAGCACTACACTGCTTTCTAAAAGCACAACACACAGCCAGGACTTTCCTGGGTGGGACGAATGCAGGGACAGCAACAACCCACAAATAGAGACCCATCTCTGGATGACCCCCTTTAATAAGCCAGGCAGGTAGCAAGTGATTGCCAAGCCTAGAGTGTGGCAGAGAGCATAGTTACAAAACAAAGCAAACAAACGAAACTACCCATTAAGACATCCAGACAGGAAAGAGAGCATCTGGGGCGATAGGTAACAACTGGCCCTCAGGCTGATGACTTCCAGGTCTGATCTCTAAGGCCACATTGACATTCCATACTCCCAATCTTCCTGTCAGGACTGGATCCTCTATTCTTCAGGGATCTCCAAGTCCATCAAATATTGTCAGGTGCCAATTTGCTTTCCCACAGACAAAGATGATTTAGCAAAATGATGATAAGTAAATAGGAACTAGGATCCAGGGGATGAGGCTGTGCTATCTTGAGGAGTCTAGCCGTACTATTTAGAGGCTCCAACAGTTACCAGCAAAATATAATCTTAAAATGTGACTAACCTAGTTTCCACCCACTCATTAGATCTTCACCATTCCTGAACGCTATAAACCAATATGCTACCAGACCAAAGAGATGAAGGAAATAGTTGAGGCTCACGTCAATGGAGCACCCCAACAGAGATCCCGCACGGAGGGCCTTCCGGATGATGTGGTATAGATTGCCCGGGGGCTTCTTCAAGTCGTAAAACTCAGAGATGCCACCTGTAAAATCTTCAAACCCCTCAATTGTGGATCCCCCAGAAAGTGCCTCATAGGAACCATTGAGCCTGTTAAAAAAGAAAGAAAACAAGCACCATCCACAGCCATGAGCAACCTGATAAGGGAATCACGGGACATGGAAAAAGATGATGCCAGGATGTAGGCTAGAGGGCCAGGGAAAGACCTTGGCCAGTTTGACAAGGAGCCTAGAACAAGCACAGACCACTGTTTTAGACAGACGCCCCAGGATTTCACTAGGAACAGATCCTCAGGCAGCCCCTTTCTACGTCTCCCACTCGCTTTCAAAACCAAAATCCCTTCAGAATTGGCCCTGACTGCTTGGGTTTCTGGGGTGCCCAGGCACAGATAGGAACAGGGAGCCTTCCCTTGAGGTTAAGGATTGCCCTAACAGAATGAGAAATTTCCTGGAGTGACAGACAGCAAACAAGACTAACTCGAAGAAGCCTTTCGACTTGAAATGTCAGTCAGGAAAACGACACTCAAGGAATGAGCAGAAACTTTGCTGAGTTTGGAATAGTGGTATTTCAATTGTATTTTAATAAATAAAGCTTGCCTGGGGATCAGGGGAGTAAAACAGCCACACTGGTCAGCCTTACAGCCAGGTAGTGGTAACACACACCTTTGATCCCAGCAGCCTCACTAGTTTGCCATAGAAACCAGGCAGTGCATGCCTTTAACCCCAGTGGTGCACACCTTTAATTCCAGATCTAGAGAGGATTATAAGGTGGGAGGAGACAGCTCACACACAGTCTCAGTCTGAGATTCCTGGAGGCAGGATCGCCATTTCAGACTTATGTTGAGGTAAGAGCCAATGGCTGGCTGCTTTGCTTTTCAGATCTTCAGATCTGACTTTTTATTGATAGTGCTTCAGTTTGGTACTAAAAATATTTCTTTTCTGCTGTGGGACAATGCACTTGAACACTTTAAAGATTTTTCATTCATATTGGTTCAGTAAAACACTGATTGGCCAATAGCCAGGCAGGAAGTATAGGTGGGGCAACCAGACTAGGAGAATTCTGGGAAGAGGAAAGTCTCAGTCTATAGTTGCCACGCGATGCAGAGGAAGCAAGATGAAAATGCTGCACTGAGAAAAGGTACCAAGCCATGTGGCTAAACATAGATAAGAATTATGGGTTAACTTAAGTTGTAAGAGCTAGTTAATAATAAGCCTGAGCTAATAGGCCAAACATTTTATAATTAATATAAGCCTCTGTGTGTTTCTTTGGAACTGAACAGCTATAGGACTAGGCAGAACAGAAACTTCCTTCTATAATTTTCCTCTTGTTCTTCATCATCATCATTTTAAACATTCGTTCATTCTGCCCCGAGAATGAATGAATGAATATATATATATATATTTGTGGTATATTTGAGGATTGGACCAGGGCCTTGTGCATGCTAACCAAGACTCTATCACTGAGCTAGCTCTCCAGCCCCAGAGATGAGCTCTTAAATTCCCAGCCCAAATTTCCCTTTCTCTTGAGAGGGATGCTTTCTTTCTAGCCTATGGTTGTCTGGATGTTGGAAAACACTTGGCCATCGCATCCTGAGTGGGAAGTGGGAAGGCAGGCAAGAGCCTTCAGGGAGGCCCCAGGGTCTTCCAGCTCCTCGCCATCTCACTTACTTGGCATAGGCTTTCTCCAGGAGAGCACTCCAGAATTCATTGCCTTCTTCCGAGTGCAGAAAGAGCAGCTGCCCATCCTTGGTGGGGAGTCTGTCGTCAATGACCACCTCTACCCACTCTCCATACTGCCAGAACTAGGGGTGGGAAAACAACATGTGTCACATGCAGAAGCAGAGGGAGGTCCCTCAGCAGGTTCCTTGGCTGGGGTCCCCCCTGCTAGTGAGCTAGTCTCCAGGCTTGGTGAACCTTAAACTCCCTGAGAGGATTTACACCTCATCCACACACAAGAGATGCCACAGGCACCAAGCAATATTTAGTCTTTCTTTGAGTCTGCGGAGAAGAGAGCTTGCTTGGTATCACCCAGGCAGCCAAAGTGGGTGACTCAGTCTGATATCTCCTGATCCTTAGTCCAGAGTGAGTCCCTCGTGGCCCCATGGCTTGAAGGAAGAAGGAAAGAGGATGAGTTTGATAGAACAAATGTATAAAGGAATGGCTCTCAAACTGGAGCGTGTACCCAAATCACCCAGAGGGATAACCTGACGTCAGTATTGGCCTCATTTCCAGAGTTTCTGATCCCACAGATTTGGATAAGATACAAAAGTGATGACAAAGGTCCCAAGCAAGGCCTGATACCTGGAAGTGAAAAATGCCTGCATAGTTCTTCTGGAAGCTCTGGTCCTTGGGGACCACTCGGTAAAGCAGTTTTTCATTCAAGGTGAGGGAGGCAATGGCTGCCAGAAGCCAACAGTCACCTGCAATAAACCAGGGGAGACAACAGCCGGTCAGGCGAGGCCCTCACTGTCCCCATCACTGCAGAGTTTATGTCTACTGTAGACTTACTTCGGCTGTAATACAATTACCAAGCGTGGGTTATGAATAAACAACAGAAAAGTACTTATCGGAGTTCAAGAGGCCGACAGAATTGGTATTGGTGAGAGCCACTTAGTGTTTCTACTTCTCTGCTTGGTACTATGTTTATGCATGACAGAAAATGAACAGGCCAACGGACCTGGCTAATTCTCCCACCCCAACAGAGGAGCATGGATGCCTAAGGTTCACTTATTAGTATGCTCACACGGGGTTGGGGCCTGGTATGGAGTCTTGGAAGAACACAGCCAACCAAAGAGCTCAACACCACTCTCCTAAGTCACGCGTGCGGGTTCTCCTCTCATGACTGAAGTGCACACACATTCCCCTCCTGAGGCCTCACAGGGAGAGTTTTACTCAGACATGGAAATGCTCCATTCATCCCAATCGTTGTGCCTTGTGCGCCAACCACTCACAGTTCCTGGGCTTCCAATCAGTAGAACGGAAATTGAGAGAAAGGAACTGTCCTCTTTGTTCCTTTTGTTGTCAGCCTTTGATTGGGTGAAACATTGAAGCTATGCAGGAGCACATAGGTATGCAAGCGAGTGAGCGAGCGAGTGAGCGAGTGAGGGAGTGAGGGAGGGAGCGAGTGATTGATCCTGTCCCACGATGGCCTTGGGTAATGATAGCAGACTCTCCATGATCTTGATCTGTGTAGAGTATGATGATCCTTTTATATTTCGGAGTTCACCGTGAGAGCCTTGGTTAAAATACCCTTGAGATATTGATTAGCATGAAATCATCATAATTCTGAAGCAAAAAGAAATGGAAGTCAAGAGAGGTTAAACAACCCAGGGCTTGCTTTGGTCACTTTGAACATCTGAGTAAATTTAGAAGCAGATAGAAAGCTCCCTCTGTGAGACAGACCTCTAAGGCCCCGAAAAGCCACCTCCTGAGGCAGCATCGCTGACTCCCAGTGACATAAAATGATGACTCACAGGCCCAGACACTACACACTCACCTTAACCTGCTGAGTGGGAGGGGCTAGAAGCTATATAATTTTGCTCACACCTGTGTATATGTTCATGGTACTGCAGAAAATGTCCTTAGTGTCCCTCCCACTGTACAACACAATACTCCCTCATACTGCCCAATCCTACCTCTTTCTTGCTGCACTGTAGACACCTGGCCCTAGAAGTCTGAGGCTTAGTGACACAGTCCTTGTTTCTCTTATTCATCTGGGTCTTCTGCTCCAACACCTCCTTGAGTGTTCCAGGCATCACTGTCCCCATATGAAGGATTAGGCCCTCTCAACCTTAGCCGGAGATGTCCCTTTCTGCAGTAGGCACCAGCACAGACTCAACTGGTCAAAGTGCTGAGACTACGAGATCGGTGAGTGCTCAGGCCTAAGTGGGACGTATATATCACTCCTTCCCCCAGCAAGGCTCAGAAAGCGCTGAGAATGATGGGGCAAAAAGAATATACAAGCCCAAGTCACCTACCATGAAGCTGCCAGGTCAGACATGCTGAATCTTTCCTGAAAAGGGGGAAATGATGGAGGAGGGTCACCTGTCTATGTATTACTTTCATTGGTTAATAAAGAAACTGCCTTGGCTTTTGATAGGACAGCAGCTTAGATAGGCAGAGTAGACAAAACAGAATGCGGGGAAAAAGAAGCAGAGTCAGGGAGAGGCAGAGAGTCGCCTGCCATGAAGCTGCCAGGTCAGACATGCTGAATCTTTCCCAGTAAGCGACGACCTCGTGGTGAGACACAGATTATTAGAAATGGGTTGAATCAATATGTGAGAGTTAGCCATTAAGAGGCTGGAGGTAATGGGCCAGGCAGTGTTTAAAAGAAAAAAAAGAATATACAAGCCAAAAGGTGGGGAAAAGTGCTGTGGAATGCTGGCTCCTAGACACAGCGTAGCCTTGGCCTTCATGTAGTCCCAAGACTCTGGCTTCTGCACAAGGCCTGGGCAAAGTCAAGTTAACAAGGTCACTCAACTGTCAGCACCCAGGATTAGTTAGACTCTGTGGGTTGTATTTGTTAAAGAAAGGAAGAGAGGAAGGAGGGAGGGAGAGGGGGAGGGAGAGAGGGAGGGAAGGAGAAGGCTAGAGAGATGGTTCTTGTAGAGGACCCAGATTTTATTCACAGCACCCACATGATAGCTTACAATGCTCTTTAACTCCATTTTCAGGGATTCTATACCTTCTTCTGACCTCCACAGGCATTACACACATACTCATCACAGTGCACATATATACATGCAAACTCATATATATATGGGAAGGACAGGTGGTGTAGGAGTTCCTTCTGTTTGTGTGTTGCTTTCATTGGTTAATGAATAAAGAAACTGCCTTGGCCTTGATAGGGCAGAACTTAGGTAGGCGGGGCAGGGGAAGCTAGGCGAAACGCTGAGAGAAGGAAGGCAGAGAGGGAGAAGCCGTGGATTCTCTGCTTGAGATGGATGCCCATTAGAATCTCCAGTAAGCCACAGCCATGTGGCGATACACAAATGAATGGAGATGGGTTAAACTAATATGTAAGAGTTAACTAATAAGAAGTTAGAGCTAATGGCCAAGCAGTGTTTTAATTAATACAGTTTCTGTGTGATTATTTCAGGTGTAAGATAACCAGGCAGCCAGGACAAACAAAGGGCCCCTTTCTCTTTACAACAGGCAGGATATGAAGATGGGAGGGATTGTTGGAGAGTATCTGGGAAGAGTGGAAGGAGTTAAGATGGATATGACCAAGAGACATTACATACATATATGAAATTGTCAAATAATAGAGAAAAGATATTCTAATAAATAAATAAATAAATAAATATTCTTAACCTTTCCTATGTACTTTCAGATAAAAAGCCTGGCAACATTTAAAGGTTATGCGGGTCCTTTTCTAACTTTATATTTTCATCTTAACTGTGGGACTAAATGAAGTTGCTTCAACAGCTCAGGAATGAACACACTTGGTGTTTCACACTCAGACTGCTTGAGCAAGTAGTCACACTTGGATCCAGGACCCACCTCTGAGGGTCTGTCACCACCAGCAAGAGCTTCATCACAATGTCACCCCAACCTTCCTCAAAAACAGAGGCTCAAGATTACATTCCAAACTAATTTCTTCTTCAGTCTCCCCCTACCTTCCCTGTCACACACACACACACACACACACACACATACACACACACACACACACACTTTTTTTCTGATCTTAAAAGTAAGTGATCTGATTTTTACTAACAAGCGTTATCCCTCAGATTGGTCACCTGTATTCAAGGTGAAGTTCAGGGTGAGCGTGGAGAGAGCGCTTGTGTGAACGCATTGGGCCACACTGCTGCTTGCTACAGAAAACTTCAGCAGGGGTAAAACAAGCAACTTCCCAAGATGGAGACAGATTTCTTCCTCCCTACCTGGTTCCCCTCAGCTTGGTTTCTTCCTGTGAACTCTGTATAATAAGGCCATTTCTCTGTCTTTCTTTGCTTAGAAACAAAATACAAACCTTTCCCAGAGTGACTCTGCCCTACCTGCCTGGTCTCCCCCACCGTGATTTTAGCTTCCAGGCAAACTTGGAAAGCACAGAGTGAACCCTGCTCATTTTCCTGCTTCCCTTTCCTTATTTGTTCCTTCTGTCTGTGCAATGCTTCCTGCAACCTGGCCAGATGGGTCTTCACCATCTCCACGAAACCTGCCTTGAGTTCTGCTCAGAAGACGCCACATTTGTTTTTGTGTGTTCTGGAGACCTCATTTATTTCCCTCAGCTGACCACAATTGGTGCACAAGCTGGACTCCCAAGTCCATTCACACGAAGGCTCCATGACAGCGCGTTCCTTGCCATCCCCAATAAACTTTCAAGCCCTCCCTCCACAGGGCTCCTAGCTCCTGCCAAGGCCACCTGATACACTTATCTCTCATCCCTGTTCCTCTCTGACCTCTTCCTGACAAGCAGGGACACGGGGATCTCTCCTGGTAGCATCCCCAGCAGTCACCAGCAAGCAGAGGAGACCCAGTGAATTTTTGACAAATAAAAACATGTCATCAAATCACCAAAGGAATTCATGAATCATGTGCTGTCCCTTTGTGAGTCAGCAATGACACCCACAGGTTTTTACCTGGAGATCCCAGGTCTGGGGTGAAATAAGCAGGGCCAGACACTGAGCCTCACAGATGTCACAGTCGACACCTGCGCCACACCTAGATGCTCGGCTACTCGGAACTCTGAGACAGAAGGCAGCAGGCGAGACGGGCACAGTCTCTGGGGAAGGGACAGACTGAAGGCTCTGGGGTGTCTCTGAAGCAGGTGGCTTCTCAAGGAAACCGGCCAGACTCCCTTCTGTTGTGAAGATTCGCAATCCCAATCTCTAAGCTGCTGCAAACCCCATCCCAGGCGCTTCCTAGACACTCCAATAAAGCATGCCAGCAAACATCCCTCGGCGGCCAACATCTAACAGGTCTGCCCAGCCAAGAGAGAGTTTAATGTTTTCTTTCTCGTCCTGACTCCTGACATTTCCTGGGGTTCACCCAGCTGCTGCAGTAAGCACAAAAGAATGTCATAGGTATAGACATTTGGGCCCAAGCCAATTACTGCATAAAGTGTGAGTGGACCTTCTTTGCAGGAAGCTTTCTCTAAAGTGCCCAAATGTGTTTCCTCTCAAAGGTACTCTTGTAATGACAGACATTTACTCCCCTGCGCAAAACACCTCAGACACTTGTTTGAGGGGCCTGCCTTGATCTTTGAGCAGAGTTTTGATTTACAAAAGCAGTTTTGAAGCTTTGGGATCTATGCTTGTTGGCAGATGCGGTAGACAAGAAAGCCTGGAAATGTCTCCACAGACAAACCGTCTTCTCTCCAGCCACCTCCCAGCTAGTGGTCTCCACAGGTTAGCATTCCCAAGAATGTAGGTGGAAATTTGGTAAAAAGCACCTACTTTCTTGCTGAAGCGTG